TTTTACTAGTAAGGAGATTACCAGTGATAATTAATTTTAAAATTTGACTTTTTAAAAACTTTTATTTATTTTTGTTTTATGTGTGAGTGTATTGCTTGCATGTGTGTAAGTGCATCTATGTCCAATGCCCTAGGAGGTTGGAAGAATGCACTGGATTCCCTTGGAACTGGAGTTCTGGGTAGTTGTTAGCTGCCATGGGGGTGCTGGGACTCGAACCTGGGTCCTCTGCAAGAGCAGCCAGTGTTCTTAATCGCTGAGCCATCTCTCCAGCCCCTAAAATTTGACTTTCTAAAAGCCAGTAAATAGTTTGTCTCTACCTTTTACTATTAAAACTACTGGTAACATAGTTGATTGCTCCTCTATGCCTTCCCATTTTATCAGCTTCCACATGTGTACCTTTCTGCATTCCACTCTGGACCTTGAAAAAAATGAAAGTCTAAAGTTTATAAATAGGAACAGCAGTGCTTTCCTGACTCTGATGGCCATTTTATTAGCTGTTGGAACCTTTACTTAAGTTTTAAATGGGAAGAATGATTAGTGAGAATGTAGGCCAAGTGACTCAGACATGGAGAACAGGTCTAATTTCAAGGAAGCCTTGCTGATCAGTATTGTGCTTTTTATAAAGTTACTTTTATTTATATGGAGGTGTCATGGTACACATGTGGAAGTCAAGAGGACAGCTTTTAGTACATCAGTTCTCTCCTTCAACCATAAGGGTTCCAGGGATGAAACTCAGGTCATCAAGCTTACATAGCAAGTTCTCTTTACCTATTGGGTCATCTCACTGGCCCAGAGGATAGTTGAACTTTGATCCTCCTACCTCTACTTCCTAAGTATGGGGTTACAGGTATGCATCACCATACCCAGTTTATGTGGTGCTTGGGACCAAACCCAGGGCCCCAGCAAACACTGCCAATTGAGCTACATTCTCAGCTCAGGAGTTTTATGTTTTCATAGCCCAGGTTTTATGCCTTGAATTCAGCTTTGCAGATTTCTGAATATCTCTTCTTATTTTTTAGGGAACACTTAACATTTTGGAAGAGGAGAACCACATTAAAGATGTTCTGTCTCGAATTGTAGTAGAAATGATCAAACGAGAATGGCCACAGCACTGGCCTGACATGCTGATGGAGTTGGACACTCTCTCTAGGCAAGGGGTATGGAGTGCATCTATGCTGACTGCAAGTGCTTACTCTTAGACTAAAGGGTTTGCTTTCTGCTGGAGTTCCTGGTTTTATCACAGAAAATAGCCTGTGGGCATATCTATATAAGAAAGTATTTTTGTTTAGCTTAACTATCTTATTTCTCTTGGCATAGGAGACACAAAGAGAATTAGTGATGTTCATTCTTTTACGAGAGCTCCAGGCCAGCTGGGGCTACAGGGAGACCCTGTCTCAAAAAGACCAAAAAATCAAAAAGTTAATCTTCAGGGGTGCTTCTAAATACCTGATAATAGGACATGCCCTCCCCAAAGAATTATTTAACTCAAAAGGTAAACAGTGCTGAGGTTGAAAAACCTTGATCTAGAATTCTCGTAAGTACTTATTTTACAAAACAGGATGAAGTAAAATAGTTTCTTTTTTTATGGTTGTATTTAGTCTATTTTTAAAGAAGTTCTAGATATTAATGCAAATGAGGGCCCCAAAAAAGTGCCATGAACTGTTAGGGTGGGGAGGAAATCACTGAATTACCAAGATGCGTTCTGTATATGTGCACTTGCTTATACTTTATAGGTTACTTAATCCTTGAGGCAACCCTAAGTCTAGAAGGTATTGTCTCCAAGGGTTCAAAGAGTAATTACTGAAGATCTTTAATAAATAGTTGCGGTAGAATTTGTCCTCATTCCTCTGTACAATACTGAGGTTTTTCAAAAAGAAAATGAAAAGATTTGTTATTAAAAGCCTACCTGTGCTGCTGCTGATAGTGTACTTCTGTAATCCCTGTATTTGGAAGGCTGAGGCAGAAGCATCTGGAGTTTAAGGCTAGTTAAGTGAGACCCTGTTTCAAAGTCAAGACAGAACAAAGTGTAGCTCAGTTGGTAGAGTACTTGCCTTCTATACAGGAAACCTTGGGTTTTATCCCTAGCACTGCATAAACCAGGTAAGGTGCTGTGGATGATGCTAATCCCAGTACTTGGGAAGCTCAGGCAAAAGAATCATATTCAGTCCCAATCTTGAAGTGGGGGGGGGGGACTAAGACTGGCTTAGTGGCACACATTTTTAATACCAGCAGCAGATCTTTGTGAGATCAGGGCCAGCCTGGTCTATATAGCAAGTTTCAGGCCAGTTTGGGCTATAGCCAACCCTATCTCAACATCTCCCCCGCCCCCCAAAAGAAAACCAAACAAAAAAATGAATTAAAAAAACAAATTTAAAGCATTTATTTTGTGGAGGGTGGGCAAGCATGTGCCATGGCACACATGTGGGCTCAGAGGACAACTTTCAGGAATCTGTTTTCCTTCCAGTATGTGGGCTCTAGGCATCAAGCTCAAGTAGTTAGGGTTGGTGGCAAGTGCTTTACTGACCAAGTCATCTCACTGAATTCCAAAAATTAAATTTTAAAAAGGGAAAAGGTTGGACATGATGGTGCATACCAGTGATCATTAGCACTCAGGAGGCCAGTCAGCTGGATAATGAATTCAAGACCAGCCTGAGCTATGTGAAACCTTGTCTCAAAAAAGAAGAAAACGTGAAAAGAAAATATATTTACTGGGAGACAACACCATTAGCCTATTGATATTTTTTATATTTTTATTTCTGGAAAAATTATCCTGAATCCTAGTCTGATAGTTTAGGAATAAAACATCACAGTTTCTTTCATTTCCTCTAAGAAGTTAATCCATGTTGTAAAAGGTAGGGACAGGTCCTCTCTATATGAAAATTGTTCACTTTCTCCTAGGGGTTAAATTCCCTAAAGAGAAAATGAAAAACTATTGTCCTTTCAACCTCTAAGCACAGGTGTTCTGTTTGTTTTAAGACAGAGTCTCATAGATCCCAGGCTGGCCTCAAATTTAATATATAGCTGAGGATGAACTTGAACTTCTTTTTTGGAGGGTATGTGGTGTATGCATGTGTATATGTTATGTGCATGTGTGTGCAGGTGCATGTAGAGGTCACAGGTCAACATCAGGTTCCTTCCTCTGTTCTCTACCTTATTTATTTATTTATTTATTTAACTATTTAATTATTGTTTTGTTTTAGGACAGGGTCTCCTTGTAGCCCCAGCTGGCCAGGAACAACCTATGTAGACCACTATGCTGGCCTTCCCCTGCCTCTGCCTGCCAAGTGCTAGGATTAAAGGCATGTGCCAGCACCATACCCAGGGTTCCTTTTTTTTGTTTTTTCTCTTTGCGACAGGGTCTCCCTGTAGCCCCAGCTGACATGAACTCACTGTGTAGACCAGGCTCACCTCAAACTCACAGATCTGCCTGCCTCTGCCGCCTGAGTGCTGGGATTAGAGGTGTACACAACCACACTTGGCTATTTTTTCAGGTAACATCTTTTACTGAACCCAGAGGCTGACAGATTAGCTAGGTTCCTTGGCCAGAAAGCTCTGGGATTCTGCCTCTCTCCATATCCCAGCACTAGGATTACAAGTATACCACCATGTTAAACTTTTATATGGGTGCTGGGGATCTTAATTCAGGTCTTCATTCATGGACAGCAAGCACTTTACCCACTGAGCTACCTCCCCAGTTCTCTGACCTTGAACTTCTGATCCTCCTGCCTCCATCTTGAGTAATAAAATTATGGGAGTATGCCACCATACCCAAATAATACATTTTATTTATTAGGAAAGAATCATATTCATTGCAAGGAATAGCACTGGGGGGCAGCAGGGGTGGAGGGGTATGTTTTATCAGGTATGGTCGTGTATGCCTTTAATTCCAGCACTTCAGGGGGGCAGAGGCAGGCAGATTTCTGAGTACAAGGCCAGCCTGGTCTACATAACAAGTTCTAGACCAGCCGGGGGTACAGGGAGACCCTGTCTAAAAAAGAGAAGAAAGCTATTTCAACTGTTAGGATAGCAGCATCTCTGAATTGCCTAAGTTGAGAAATTATTTTTAAAAAATTTAAGAACCAGGTGGTATGGTGGTGTACACCTATGATCCAAGCACTTAAGTAGTCAAGGCAGGAAAATCAGGAGCTCAAAGTTGTCCTCTGATAAGTAGACTCAAGGCCAGCTTACACTACATGAGAGATTTTCAGGGTATTCCTCCCTTGCAGCCTCTCACTCTAAGCACTTAAATATGCATTTACTCTGCTTTAGGAAAAAAAGATTTTTCTCTTCAGAGCTATAATGAGTGATGTCCATTAGTTTCCACATATTGGATGCTCTAGATGGAGCATGTGCTAGAACAGGACTGGTTGGTGATTGCTTGGGCATAAATTAGAAACATCTTTGGTCCCATTTACTTTGCATTCAGTTCCCTCCGTCTATTAGGATGTCCTCAGGCTCCCACAGGGCCAGAGGACATGATGAGCCATTGAATTTTTTAAAGACAGGGTCTTCCTGTAGCCCTAGCTGGCCTGGAACTCACTGTAGAGACCACATCGGCTTTGATCTCATAGAGATCTTCCTGCCTCTGTCTCCCCAGTGTTGGTATTAAAAGAGTATGCCACCTTGCCTGGCTCTGTTTTTTTAAGACATGGCCTCATGTAGTGTGTGTGTGTGCCTCCCCCTTCACTTCCCAAGTGCTCAGTTTATATGCATGTGCCCCCCACACCTGTCATTGTTTTTTTTTGTTTTTGTTTTTTGTTTTTGATGTGTATGTGTGTATTCCCTGCATGTAGGTAAGTGCACCTGTGTTGTCAATGCCTGCAGAGGTCAGAAGAGGTCGGATCCCTGGGACTGGAGTTATGGACAGTTGTTAGCTGCCATGTGGGTGCTGGGATTCTAACCCAGGTCTTCTGCAAGAGCAACCAGTGTTAACTGCTGAGCCATCTCTTCAGCCCCGAAAATTTTTTTTTTTTTTAATATTTTACTATTTTTATTTTATGTGTATGAGTGTAGTGCCTGCATGTATGTGAGTGCACCCATGTTGTGCCACGGAGGTCAGAAGAGGGCTTTGGATTCCCCTGGAACTGGAGTTAAGAACGGTTCATGGCCACCATGTGGGTGCTGGGAATCGAACCCAGGTCCTCTGCAAGAGCCATCTCTCCAGCCCCAAGCATTGATAATTTTTAAATATTTTTGTTTTTTTAAATTATGTGTATAGGTGTGAGTCTGAGTATAGATAAGTGGGCATGATCGCAATACCTGCAAGGTTCAGAAAAGGGTGTTGGATCACCTTGAGCTGAAATTGTAGGCGTCTGTGAGCTGCCTGACAAGAGTGCTCGGAAAAACAATCCTGTCCTCTGCAAGAGCAGTAACTGCTCTTTGCCACTGAACCATCTCCAGCCCTGGTACTGATAAATTTCTCTGTTCACTCACAGCTCCTCTGCTTTTATCCCTTTGTGGTCCCAGTTAGGGAGTCTGTTGAATAAATACAGAAGCTTTCTCCTTTGGTCCTGTCACCAGGCCTCTGCACCGGCCCAGTGGTTGTGGAGAATTGTTGGAGTCAAAGGAAAAGGCTGGACCTGGCTTTTTGGTTTGGAATGTTTCCAACTCCAGTAATGACTTCTTCCAAGTCCTAGAGAAATCCTTGCTGCCACTTGTATTTTTGTCTTTGGGAGTTTTGGGTTTTGTTTTTTGTTTTTTTTAATTTATGTGGATGTATGTATTGCTTGCATGTAGGTAAGTGCACCCATGTCGTGCAATGCCTGCAGAGGACAAAAGAGACTGTCAGATCCCCTGGAACTGGAGTTATGGAAAGTTGTTAGCTGCCATGTGGGTATTGGGATTCAAACACGGGTCTTCTGCAAGAACAGCCAGTGTTCTTAACCACTGTGCTATTTCTCCAGCCCCAGTTTTGGGGTTTTTGAACCAGTATCATTGTGTAGTCTGATTGACCTGGAACTCACTATATAGGATAAAAATCAACTGCATTTGTATATATGTGGCCATTATTTTGATGTTTTAACATTTACTAACTTGGCCTACATGATTTCCTGTAGTTATACATAGGTGGTCATGGCCTGTACCAATTTGGTTTGTTTCTTTATCCTGTTCTTAGTCTCTTGTATTCTTTGCCAAGGTTAAAAGCTGCTCACACCTGTAATCCCCACTCTTGGGAGGTTGAGGCAGGAGGATTGCTACAAGGTTAAAGCTAACTTGGGGTACATCGTGAATTCCAGCCACACCCTGGCCCCCACCTGGTGGATCTTTTCTGAAAGCAAACCAAAGAAAGTTGCATCTGTTTTAAACAATCATTATTCCAGGCCTTTGATTAAAGGGATGGGAAGTTGTTGTGTATCTGTTTGCTCATTAAACTTTATACTTTTCTTTCAGAAAACTGATGCTTCTCAGGAGTCAGAGGTAAGATCTCTTTGTGAAATTGAAAGGAAACTTCTTTAAGGCCTCCCAGGCATGGGATGCATGCACTTAAACTTAGCCTTTGGTGAAGTGGCCACGTTTTCCAGTGTGTTCTCATTGCTGGGCACTGAGAACGCCACTGCCTGAGAAGCAGTTGTATGTTTGAAGAGAACTTTTGAGCTCTTTGCCAGTAATTCTTAGAGGAGTGCATTTTAGAACTCAAAAATCCAGGGCTGGAGAGATGGCTCAGTGGTTAAGAGCACTGACTGTTCTTGCAGAAGACCTGAGTTCGAATCCCAGCACCCACATGGCAGCTAACAACTGTCCATAACTCCAGTTCCAGGGGATCCAACAGCCTCTTCTGTCCTCTGCGGGCATTGCACGATATGGGTGCCCTTACCTACATCTAGGCAATACACACATACACATAAAATAAAAATAACAAAATATTTAGAAAAAAATAGAACTCAAAAATCCAAGTTTAATTATAACTATAGTTCCTTATCTGTCAATACCTCATGATCAAAAGTGATTCCTCATAGGCTCAAGCAAACTGTCGAGTAAGCATCGCAGCACTGAATACCCTAGCAGGCTACATCGACTGGGTGTCTGTGAATCACATTACTGCTGAAAACTGTAAACTCCTGGAGATCCTGTGCCTGCTTCTGAATGAACAGGAACTGCAGCTGGGAGCAGCTGAGTGTCTTCTCATTGCAGTCAGCAGAAAAGTGAGTCACTGCATCACACTCCTGTCCTCAGAGTCTCCAAATTCTGCTGTGTGCTTTGTTGCATTTAAAAGTTTGGGGTTTCATTCCTTGACCCCCAGCTTACTGGTCACCTCCAACTATTTTGAATAAAAATTTGCAATATTTCAAGGACTCACTGGCAGAATATACAGAAATTTATTAGGCTGCTTGGTCCTTGGTAATGATTACTGGTACTTCATAATTAAAGTAGTGTTAAAGTTAAAAGCTCACTATTGTCAATAGTGGTATAGAAGCTGTCAGTATTTTGAGATTCGTTTTGGGGGGCTGGAGAGCTGGCTCAGTGGTTAAGGCATGAGGACTCTTGCAGGGGACCTGGGTTTGATTCCCAGCACCCACATGGTGGCTAACAACCATCTGTAACTCCAGTTCCAGAGGATCTGGACTCTTCTGATCTCCACAGGCATTGTATGACACAAGTGCACTTAAACATGTGCAGGCAGTACACTCATACACATGAAATAAAAATAAAAATTTTTTTTAATTAAAAAAAATAAAATTCATGCAATATATATGTTAGTGTAGTATATGACCATGTTTTCCTAACATTAAATCCAGGGCAAGCTGGAAGACCGGAAGCCTTTGATGATCTTATTTGGAGATGTTGCTATGCACTATATTCTCTCTGCTGCACAGTGAGTATCTCTACCTTTCAATACGTTGTAGGTTTGGATGGATTTTTAGGTTTAAGTTTTCTGTAGAGTGAATACATATATGTTTGCACATGTATGCTTGTGGAGGCCAGAGATAGACATCAGGTGCCCTCCTCTGTTGCTCACCACCTCTTTTTTGGTTTGTTTTTGTTATTTTATTTATTTATTTTTGGTCTTTTTGAGACAGGGTCTCCCTGTAGCCCCAGCTATCCTGGAATTCACTATGTAGACCAGGCTGGCCTGGAACTCACAGAGATCTGCCTGCCTCTGCCTCCCGAGTGCTGGGATTGAAGGCGTGCACCACCACGCCCAGCTGTTTTTGTTTATTTTTATTTATTTTTATTTTATGTGTAGGAATGTTATGCCTGCATGTATGTAAGTGCACACATGTCCTGCAGTGCCCATGGAGGACAGAGGAGGGCGTTGGATCCCCCTGGAACTAGAGTTATGAATGGTTGTCAGCTGCTATGTGGGTGCTGGGAACTGAACCCAGGTCTTCTGCAAGAGCAGTCAGTGCTCTTAACCACTGAGCTATCTCTCCAGCCCCACAACCTTGTTTTTTGAGACACCATTTCTCACTGAACCCAGAACTCTGATGACTAGATTGGTTGACGAGTGAGTGCCTGTCTCTGTCCCCTCAGTGCTGTGGTTACAGGTATGCACCAGGCTTTTACGTGGGCACTGGAGATCCAAACTCAGATCCTTAAGCTTGTGTAAGCAGGAACTTAATTGAATGAACCATCTCCCTAGCCCTTGGTTTAGGTGGGTTTTTGTTTTGGTGTAAAGGATGGAACACCAAGCTTCGTTTGTAAGATCTCTATACCACTAATGTGCCCTCCTAGTCTTGTAGTATGTTTTCTCCTCTGTGTGTGTGTGTGTGTGTGTGTGTGTGTGTGTGTGTGTGTGTGTATATATACATGCCATCTCCCTGGCCCCACCCTTTCTCTTATGCTCTCCACTTACTGAGTCCTAAAGACAAGTGTGAAAAGATGTGCAAGAAACATATGTATTACCTCAAGTCTCTTACTGTCCATTCTGATATAGCATTTAAACATGACTTTCTTTCCTAAGGAGATGTGTCTATTTTTAAAGGATCCTATTAAATGAATAATAGATCTTTGGGTGTTCTCTGTGGTAGCTGCATCACAGGTCCATCGCTCAGGTCTGTAGAGACCGTAATGCACACACAGGTGTTCTATCTCCATTTGTTCAGTGGGTACCACTCCATGCCACGGTTAGGAAGGCTGGGACTCAAATGCTTTCACAGAAGCCCTAGCATGATGTCGCCTTCCTATGTCCCTAGGGCCTACCTGCTTTTCCCCCCACTCCCATATTCTTCCCTTCCATCGGCTAGTGCAGCCGCTGCTTGTACCAGATGTGCTCGTTGTTGTCAGGCTTGTTTCAGGTCATCTAAAGAACTATTGGATTCTGCTGGATTACAGACCTGAACTCAGACCGGGTCACAGTTCATCAGGGAGCCCAATGTAGGAACTCAGGGCAGGAACCTGGAAGCAGGAGCTGGAGCACAGGACATGGAGGAATGCTGCTTACTGGCTTGCTCCCCTGGCCCCTGCTCAGCCTGCTTTCTTATGCAACACAGGCCCACCCACCTGCCCAGGGGTGGCACCACCCACAGTGGGCTGGGCCCTTCCATATCACTGAACAATCAAGCAGGTGCCTCATGAACATAGCTACACAGGCCAGTCCAATGAAGGCAATTCCCCAATTGAGGCTCCCTCAACCCAGGTGTGTCAAATTAACACTAAAGCTATGCAGCACAGGAAGTGAGACAAAAAAATTAAGACGAGGTCTCCCTGTAGTCCCAGCAGGCCTGGAACTCACTCTGTAGACCAGGCTGGCCTCGATCTTACAGAGCTCCCACCTCCTTATGCCCCCCAAGTGCTGGAATTAAAGGAGGGTGCCACCATGCCTGGCTTCAAAAATATTTATCTCTTTAGGGGCACACACTGTGGTCCAAGTGTGGTTAGAGAACAACTTATAGGGATCAGGGGATTGAACTCAGGTCGTCACCCTTGGCAGTAAGTACCTACCTATTGAGCTGTCTACCAGCTCAAGACATCATTTTTATTATAGTCTTTTTCATTTTATCAATGGTGTAAGGAATTGGCTACATTGATATCTCCCTCCCCAAGAATCTCTCCAAGGCCTCCCTGATTATTAGCCAGAATCTTTGTGCTGCTGCTCATAGGGATATATACTGGGTTTTACAGTTATGCACAACTCATGTCCCAAAGTAAGGACTTCTATCATGCCCAGAATTAGAGTATGTAATGGTGGATGCAGGGAGAGATTGCATTGAACCATTACACATCAATCTTTGAGTGATTTGAATGGTGAGACCCAGGTCACATGACACTTGTACCTAATGGGATTCTTATTGTGTCTGTTGATGTGTAATCATACAATTCTCTCTTGCAGGACTGCTGATGGGGGAGGCTTGGTGGAAAAACACTACCTCTTCTTGAAGAGACTTTGTCAGGTGTTATGTGCACTGGGCAATCAACTATGTGCACTGTTGGTAAGCAGTTTCCTCTGAAGCACATTGAGCTGTCTGCGGAGAAGGTCTAGAAGCTGTCTCCTGATTTCATATGATTCTCTAGTTTTTATTTGGGTTTTTTTGGTCTTTTTTTGGTCTCCCTGTAGCCCCCAGCTGGCCTGGAACTCGCTTTGTAGATCAGGCTGGCCTTGAAGTCACAGAGCTTCACCTGCCTTTGTCTCCCGAGTGCTGGAACTAAAGGGGTGTACTACCATGCCCAGCCTAGATTCTCTAGATTTTCTCTAGGGGTTTGGTTGTTTGGTTTTGTTGTTTTTGTTTGGCTTTGAGAAGCAGTCTTGCTTTGTAGCTCAGTCTAAACTAGAACTTAGTACATAGGCCAGGCTGCCCTCAAACTCACAGCAATCTTCTTGTCTCAGCTTCCCCTGTGCTGGGGTTACAGCCATATGCCCACTATACTCAGCTTTTAGGGTGATATTTAAAACAAAAACTTACTAGTTAGAAGCTAGGGATTTAGAACAATAATTTTGAATTGATATTATGCCTTTTTGTGATTGTAAATAATCAGAATAGTTTCAGATTAATTTATTAGTTAACATTAAATACCCATGGGTATTTAATAGATTGAGTCACAAAAATAGAAATAGGGGTCTGGAAGATGGTTCAGCAGTTAAGAGCACTGGTTGCTCTTTCTGAGGACCTGGGTTCAGTTCCCAGCACTCACATGGCAGCAACAGCCATCCCTAACTCCAGTTCCAAGGGATCTGACACCTTCTTCTGCCTGCCATCACATTGCATTGACAGGGGTGCACTTAATATACATGCAGACAATATACTCATATACAAAATAAATATATAATAATAAGTAAATAAAATAATTTTTAAAATAGAAATGGGATAGGTCTGATTAAATGTTTTCTGTTTACATCTGGGAGCACTTAAATTTTTTTAATTTCTTGAGACAGTGTCTCTAGCTCAGTCTGAGGCTCCTTCCTCAGCCTTCTACTGCTAGAATAACAGTCACGTCCAACACATCCAGCCTTCAAAACATTTTTGAGCATTTTTGTTACCTGTTTATAACTCCTCCCCAACCCCTTCCCCCACCCCTCTGTCCCTTCCCACTTAACACTATTAATGTGGTGGTCTTTTTTCTTCTAAGGGTTTAGATTCTAACATACAAACACCAGAAAACTTTGGGAAGTACCTGGAATCTTTTCTTGCTTTCACAACCCACCCAAGTCAGGTAAGCTTTATACAAATAACTTCTCAAACTTTTGGTAAGGTGAACCCAGATCAAGCACTGTGTAGCTTGCAGGCTGGTCACTCTTCTGGACCTAAGAATGGCTATTGGTATCTTTTCATTAAGACCATGATTGGGGGCCTGCTAGATAGCTCAGTGGATAAAAGCACTTGCTGCTCAGGCCTGTCAACTTCAGTTCAGTACCCAGGACCCACTGTTTCAAGAGAACTCCTAAAAGTGGACATCTGATCTTTGCCCACTGGCTATGGCACACGGGTGTGCACACACAGACTACTAAATAATTGGGGTTTTTTTTTGGTCTTTTGTTTGAGACAGGGTCTCCTATAGCTCCCGCTGGCCTGAAACTCGCTATGTAGACCAGGCTGGCCTTGAACTCACAGAGATCTGCCTGCCTCTGCCTTGTGAGTGCTGGGATTAAAGACATGCATCACCACACTCAGCTCTAAATTAAAAAAAAAAAAACTTTTTCTAAATAAAAATGTTTAAAAATTTAATTATTAGATCTGTTTCCCAAGCACTTGCACTATTTAGGTCAGCAGCTTTCCCATAGGCAGCTTTCTGATAATGTTCCATGTGTGGAGGTATGGCCTAGATGGTTCAGAACTAGAGAAATTTAAAAAACAAGTTTGATGAATTGTGTTGTGACATTAATTTCATTCAAGATTTCCCTTTAGTCACTTTGTGATTCCAGTTCCCCTTTCTTGCATAGAAGACAGTTAAGTGAGTCAACCCACACGCCAAGGCTCACACCTGACCCACAACCTCTTATTAACTTGTGGTCCATAGTGAGTAGTCATTACTGTTCCACTTTGAAGTGATTTCAGAGTGTCCTAGAAGTTTACTTCTGTGGAAAATTGTTGATAACTGCTAAGCTGAATCGTAATCTTCATTAAATAGTATCCACATCCTTAAGCTGAGCTTTGTGGGGTTTTGTTTTGCTTTAGTTTCTACGGTCTTCAACCCAAATGACCTGGGGAGCTCTGTTTAGGCATGAGATCCTATCTCGTGATCCATTGCTGTTAGCAATAATTCCAAAATATCTCCGTGCTTCTATGACCAACTTAGTCAAGGTAAGTAATGAGAATTCTAAATGTGTGAGGTGTTGCTAAATATACATCAGACTTTGATTGGCATTGTTGACAACCCTTTTTCTGTCTCTTGAGGTACTCTGAGAGTATTCTCTTATGAAAGAAAAAAGCAGTTCAGAATGGTTATTACACCTGTTCTTCCATATTTGGGAATACTTAACTATGTATGAAGTATCAAGTGAGGTGCCAGGACGAGAGCAGTTACCACTGTGTTAACTGCTACCCAGGCTCTAAAGCAGAATTAACAGAATGTTTTGGAAATACATAGGAGGGTGGAATCAGGAAGATTGTAAGATGGAATAATACCTAAGGATTATTTCTGAAGGTTGAGTGTGTGTCAGGAATGCACATGAGAAGGAAATGAGGGCAGAAGCAAAGATTGCTCATTCCCTCCATAGGCTCAATTGTGAATTCACTGAGATCTGCCAAGAGTGCTTGTAAGAGACAAATTTACCCACCCTCTCTGCCTGTTTTTCTTCCCTTTCTCCTCCTTCCCTTCTTCCTTGTCAGTACTGTGGATTAAATCCAGGGCTTTATGCCTGCTAGGCAAGCATTCTGTCTTAGAGCTAAATCCCCACCATTTCACTGTATTGCAGAGCTGGAGAATAGAACTCGGTTTCATCAAGAATTTACCTAGCACATACTGTGTTCTAATTCTCTGTTTTGGTCTTGCAGTACCTTTTTTTTTTGTTGTTGTTGTTGTTTTTGAGACAGTGTCTCCCTACAGCCCCAGCTGACCTGGAACTCACTATGTAGACCAGACTGGCCTTAAACTCACAGAGATTCACCTCCCTCTGGGATTAAAGGCATGTGCCACTGTGCCTGGCCTTTTTTTTTTTTTTTTTAATGAACCCATTTTCCCCCGATATTTCAGGTTTTTATGGTTTTGGGGGGGGGTTGGTTTTTTTTTTACACAGGCTAGTCTGGAACTTACTAACTAGAAAAGCCTGGCTGTGAACTTCACCCTGCCTTCTATAGGTTGCTGGCAGTGGAGGTGTATGCCACCATACCCAGCCTTGGTTGTTCAGTATATAATGAAACAAGTAGTGTCAAATTTTTCAACTTTATTTGTATATAGAATTAGCACTTTTTCTGGGATACCTTCATACTTAGACCTTAAATGAATTCCAGTAGTTTATTGTCCCTGAGGAACCTAGAGGGCTTGTCAGCTAACAGGGCTCACTTTTCTATTGCTCTCAGAAATACTGGAACTGGGGAACAAACTAGATTTGGGATATAACAGAAATAGTTCTTATCATAAACTATGTCATGTAATCGCCAGCTCATCTTGAATCCTCAAGTGCTTCAGCTGTTGAAGGCCATGCACTCTTTGTAGGTCCATTTCACGCATCTCACTTGCCTTTCTCTTTGCAGATGGGCTTTCCTTCTAAGACAGACAGCCCTAGCTGTGAGTATTCTCGATTTGACTTCGATAGTGACGAGGACTTCAATGCTTTCTTCAATTGTAAGTGATAGCTGCCTGGAATTTCCTTCCAGCCTCTTAGAATGGCATCTGCTGTTGCAAATCAGGGTCCATTACACTTGGGAGTTGCTATTTCAAGAGATCCTCAAATCAGGACAGTGACCCTCTAAAGTTCTAATTTACCATTGCAGAAGGATGCTGTTCATACATTCTAGCACAGAATATTCCATAGTGTGTTGTGTTTATCCACCCCCCATGTCATTATTTAATAGCTGTTTAAGGATTAGAGCCATATTTAAGATAGTCCTGAGTTTCTCTCATTCATTTTTTACTTTTAAAATTTTTTTATTTTTAATTTTTGTTTTATGTGTATATGTGTATTGCCTGCATGTAAGTGCACCTGTGTCGTGCAATGCCCGAGGACAGAGGAGGCGATTGGAACCCCTGGAACTGGAGTTACAGACAGTTGTTAGCCGCCTTGTGGGTGCTGGGATTCGAACCCAGGTCTTCTGCAGGAACAGCCAGTGTTCTTAACTGCTGAGCTATCTAAGGCAGGCTGGAGGATTGGCTCAGTGGTTAAGAGCACTTGCTGCTCCTCAGGACTGGAGTATGGTTTCTAGCGCCTAAGTCTGGTGGCTCACAGTGGCCTATAACTCTAAGGGATCTGGCACCCTCTTCTGGTCTTCTCGGACATGGAAACAGACATGGACGGACACACACACTGGCAGACATGTATACATACATACATATAAACATTTTTTAAAAAGTAAAATCATGCCGGGCATGGTGGTGCACGCCTTTAATCCCAGCACTCGGGAGGCATAGGCAAGCGGATCTCTGTGAGTTCAAGGCCATCCTGGTCCACATAGTAAGTTCCAGGACAGCTGGAGCTACAGGGAGACCCTGTCTCAAAAAGACCAAAAAAAAGTAAAATCATTTATTTAAAAAAAGTTTAAGTGACACCTTACCATGTAATTCTTTTCAGAAGGAACCTAATTCTATTCTTGTCTTTTGTTTTGTTTTGTTTTGTTTGGGAGGGGGTCTTTGTGAGATAGGGACTCCCTGTAGCCCCAGCTGGCTGGCCTGGCTAGACTAGGCTGGTCTCAAACTCAAACTCACAGAGATCCACCTGCCTCTGCCTACCTAGTGCTGGAATCAAAAGCGTGCGCTACCATACCCAGCTTTCTGGTCTTTTGGAGGCAGGGTCTCCTACAGCTGGCCTGGAACTCACTATGTAGACCAGGCTCACCTTGGACTCACTGGGACTAAAGGCATGTATCACCATGCCTGGCTCTCCATTCTTGTATTTTTTTAGCCTTGTTTCCTTTCTTTTGTTAATTAACTTTTACCAGGATGAAATTTCTTATGCTGTAACTCAACCTTTTATAATACACTTTTCTTTTTTCTTTTTCCTTTTTTTTTTTTCTGTCTTTTTGAAGCAGGGTCTCCCTGTAGCCCCAGCTGTCCTGGAATTCACTATGTAGACCAGGCTGGCCTTGAACTCACAGAGATCTGCCTGCCTCTGCCTCCCAAGTGCTGGGACTACAGGTGTGCACCACCATGCCCGGCTATAATACACTTTTCATTTTAGTATTTTCACTGAGTTACACAACCATTATCAAAAATTAGTTTCTTAGCATATTCATCATCCCAGAAACCCTTTATCTGTCACCTCCCAGTCCCTTCATTGTTTCTACTCCTTGGCAACTAGACATTTGCTTTCATATACGTAGTGCTATATAGTTCGTGGTCTTTTTATGACTGCCTTCTTACAACTTAGCATGCTTTTAAAATTTTGCCCATATTATAGCAGTATGGCTATTTTAGTCCTTTTTTTTCTTTTATTTATTTATTTTGAGGCAGAGTCTCCCTGTAGCCCCAGCTGGCTTAGAACTCATTATGGAGATCAGGCTGGCCTCTGTCTCTCAGAGATCTGCCTGCCCCTGCCCCTCCCCCTCCACTTCTGGGATTAAAGGTGTGCACCACCACACCTGGCCTACTTCATTTCCTCCTCTTGCTCTTTCCTCTCTTGTTTTTTTTTTTCCCCCTTAGAGCTGAGGACCAAACCCAGGGCCTCTACCACTGAGCTAAATCCCCAACCCCTCTCTCTTTTTTTTAAAGATTTTTATTTTATGTGTTTGTATGTAAGTGCACCCGTGTCATGCAGTGCTCTTGGAGTCAAGAAGAGGGTATTGGATACCCTGAAACTGGGGTTACAAATGTTAGCTGTCATGTGGTTGTTGGGAACCAAACCCCAGTCCTCTGCAAGAGCAGCCAGTGCTCTTAACTACTGAGCCCTCTTCTCCAGCCCCGACTTCATTTCTTTTTAATGCTGATATTTTACTGTATAAATAAATAGACCACATTTTAGTCATCTATACATCAGTTGGACATTTGTGTTATTTTTTTGGTTTTGACTGTCAGAGTAATATTGCTTTGACCATTTGGGTGTGCATATTTTCTGCAAGCAATGTTTTGTTTCTTTTGGGTCAATAACTAGGAGTTAAATTGCTAGATAGTATGGTAGTTACATGTTTAATCTTTGGAGAAATCAGACTGTTGTCCACAGCAGCCTGCACCATCTTCTATTCCTATCAGCCTGATTTTCTTTCAATTCCAACAGAAATGGAAGACCGATTTTAGTTTGCTACTTATAGGCTATAGCTGGTAAGACAGCCTACAGAGATAATTTGTTTGAAGTTTTCTGGATTCATTAACTCAACAAAGCTATATTAAGCCGTTGTTAGAGCCAAAACATGAATCTGCAAAACAGTCGCCCTGCCTGGATGAATTACTAGCCATCAAGTCTTGTGTGCTAGTTACTAATTTCTGTCCTTCTTCTAAGCCTCCCGAGCCCAGCAAGGAGAGGTGATGAGACTGGTTTGTCGTTTGGATCCCAAGACTAGCTTCCAGATGGCTGCAGAGTGGCTGAAGTATCAGCTCTCAGCTTCCATTGATACTGGACCTGTGAACTGTAAGTTTTATGTTTCATTTTTATTACTAAACATTAGCATTGTATGAAAGCTATGCAGAGGAAATAGGCCAGAGTTGTCAGCATAGAATGCTAATGCTGTTAAAAAACAGCTTACCTCAGGCTAGAGAGATGGCTCAGCAGTTAAGAGCAGGTGATTAAGAGCATATACCACTCTTCCAGAGGACCCAAGTTCAGTTCCCAGCAACCACATTAGGCAGCTCACAACCATTTGTAACTCTAGCACCTGGGAAATACAACACCTCTGGCTTCCAGGAGCACTGGCACTCAGACACACATATATACACACACATCATTAAAGATAAAAATAAAGACCGAGTGTGGTAGCATATGTCTTTAATCCCAGCCCTGGGGAGGTAGAGGCAGACAATCACTGAGAGATTGAGGCCAACTTGGTCTATATAGCAAGTTCCAGGCCAGCTGGGGCTACTAGGAGACCTTGTCTCAAAAAAACTAAAATAAATAAATAAACAAATAAAATAGCTTTACTCACTACCTAATTCCATCCCTCTAGGTAATAATTTCTTTTGCTCATAGAGGAAAAAACAGGTAATACTGGGTTTAAATCTGTTTGAATTGAGGCTCAGCAGTTAAGAGCACTGGCAGCTCTTGCAGAGGAACCTGGGTTCAGTTCCCAGCACTCACATGGCGACTGACAACCATCTGTATCTCCAGCTCCAGGGACTACAACTCCCTCTTCTGAGCTCTACAGGCATTGCATGACATGGGTGCACCTACCTACATTAAGGCATTATAGTCATACACATAAAATAAAGATAATAAATAAGGCCGGGTGTAGTGGCGTGCTCCTGTAGTCCCAGCACTTGGGAGGCAGAGGCAGGCAGATCTCTGTGAATTCAAGGCTAGCCTGGTCTACATAGTGAGTTCCAGGACAGCTGGGGCTATAGGGAGACCCTGTCTCAAGACCAAAAAAAATAAAAAAAAAAAATATTTAAATTTGTTTGAATTAGGGTGAAACCATGTCCCTATCAGCTTTGTCTTCCCTTTTCTAGTCTAACAGAATCAACCAGCTGTTAATTTTATTGTTTTTCTTCAGGGGCACCATTAAACAAACTACATGTCTAGACCCCTGACTTTTTATTTGTTTTGTTTTTGTTTTTTGAGATAAGGCCTCACTGTAGCCCTGGCTGGCCTGGAGTTGGCTGTGTAGAATAGGCTGTCCTTGAACTCAATAAAAATCCTTTTCTCTCTGCCTCCTGAGTGCTGGGATTAAAGGTGGGCACTACCACACCCAACTAGACCTAACTTGATTCAACATAGTGCTAGCATATCTAACTATGCCTAAATTCAGGAATGGTCTCTGGTTGGGCATAGTAGGGACATTGCAGGACTTCCTGTATCACTCACCACCTCAGAGTCTCTGGGAAATCCCAATTTATATAAAATCATAATAGGCTGCCTGTGTCCAAATTCATCAGCCAGTTAAATCTTTTATTAGTGCGTGTTATACTTAACAGGATTATTCAAGCAGGAAAGGTAACTTCACAAATGAAGTCATACCACAGTAATGGTCATTTCCAAGTCACTACTCATTTGAGTTTTGAGAGAGCTAACGTTTAGTCATATTTAAAATCAACTCTGAGGGTTTGATGACTTGAATGTCTGCGGAAGCCCAGATGTGATGCACTGAGATGAAGCTAGTAAGTGGCAGCCCTGTCTGGAAGCAAGAAAATCAGCCTTTTTTGTCCGTCTTCCTGAGTGCTGGGATTAAAGCTGAGTGGTGAGCTTGGTGATGTTAATGGATTTGGACCCTGGCATGTTTCTAGGTAAAACCCCGAAAATTGCCACGACACTCTGGGGTGTGAAGTCACATTTGTAATGTCATTTCCTTGTTGGAAGAATTTTTTTCTTTTTCAAAATTTATTTTTATTTGTGTGTGTGTGTGTGTGTGTGTCCGTCCATGTCCGTGTCCTGAACTCACTATGTAGACCAGGCTGGTATTGAACTCACAAAGATCCACCTGCCTCTGCCTCCCGAATGCTGGGACTAAAGGTGTGCGCCACCATGCCTGGCCATTTTGTGTTTTAAAATAAGACCTTTTTGTGTATCCTAGGCTGGCCTGGAGCTTGCTTTGTAGCCCACACTGACCTCAAACTCAACTGTCCTCATTCCTCAGCCCTGAGTAGTAGGATTCCTTTGCCCATCCATACCCTCCCCCAAGCTCCAGGGGGATACACTCCATCTAAACACTAGCCAAGAACCTCTACCACTGAACTACATCCCTAGCTTAGAATATCTTAACGATCTGAAATACAAACTCACGGAGTGTAAATGTAAGGAGGGAAGACATGACTATTTCTCAAGTGCTTTATGAGCCACATTGTACTTACTGCGTATATGCATATTCTCAACAGACAGTGGTCCTGATGAAGACACGCTCAGATGGCCCACTGCAGAAAGGTGGAAGCAGGGTAGAAAGCCTTTTCTGCCTTCACACATGGTCTTTTCTTTGCTAAAGTGTAGAGGTGTCAGATCACCTTGTTCCTTCAACTGAAATTACAGGTGGTCTCTAAGACCCTGGTTGTGTCTGTCTTCTGTGATCCAACCAAACTGATAAGTGTTTGTATGTGTGTTTCAAAAGCCTGTCCTACAGCTGGAACTGGAGAGGGAGGCTTCTGCTCCATCTTCTCATCTTCATTTGTGCAGTGGGAAGCCATGACCTTTTTTTTGGAAAGTGTGATCAACCAGATGTTTCGAACACTAGAGAAAGAAGTAAGTACAGTTCCCATGCTGACAACATAATGATTTGATCTTCTATAAACTGATAGGTGAACAGGGAACTCTTACAACAGAGACTGAGATTTAGAGAGGTTAAATAGCATACTCAAGTTTAAATACTTAATTTATGGTAAATACTTAATTTATGGTAGAACTGAGACCAAAACTCAAGTCTGTGACTCTGAAGGAATGGTAAGTTTGAACCTGGTGGTATACGTAAGCCACATGTTGGACAACGACAGAGCTTTTAATGGACCATCTTGAGAGATACTTGTCATCAAGTAGGGCAAGTGAACCCTGATATTCATGTTGGTTGGCAGTATCCTCCCCTGAATAATAATAAATAGGCTGTTTTGCTATACTTCCTGTCATCTGTTAACTCTCTCTTAGAGCATTGCTTTAGCTGGAGCTGTAATTGGATAGCAACACACTGTATTGTCCGTGCTAATTAAATTAAGTCACAGGTAGTTTTGAGGTATTCTGGATTAGTTGTGCAAATAATCTCTAAGTCCCTTTAAATGAGAGATTTTTTTTTTTCTCATGAGGAGCATATTAAGAAATTAGATCTCATGGTGACTAAGCATTGCCTGCTTTTATATATTCATTTACTTGAGTTTGAAATGAAGGCATTCTGAATTTGACTTAAAATGTAGCAAACCCTTCTTGCATTCTGCACTTTTTTTTTTTTTCCTCCAAGTTGGGTCTTTCACAGGTTAGGTTGTACTTATTAGTACAGTAAGTAAGGCACAGCAAGAAATCCCCTTAGCAAGTCAAGAGAAACAGTCCTGTTTCCTTTTCTGTTGTTTAAGTTAGACACATCCAGTGGCTATATAAACACAGATTTGATTTTGCTTGGATGTAAGGTATAGAATGGTGAGAATTTGGCAGTATTTGAGGGGAAGAAGGTACCTCCTTGGTTGTAGGCTAGATTTTATAATTTTTTTTTCACTGTATTACAGACCCTAGGTGATTGAACCTAGGGTCTTAGATGTGCCAGACAAACACTGCCAGTAAGCTACAGTCTCAGCCCTGAATTAGAATTTCTAATAAGACAGGTGAGTATCTGAAAAATAGTTATGTGATGAGCCTATCCTCTTTATGAAGCCATTTGTTGTCTGTCTCTAGGAGTGTGCAGGTGACAGATTTAAGCCTGTTCTCCTCGCACTTGCCTAGTCCAGGGGTTTGCAGATGGCCCATTTTCTGCTTCCAGCATAAATCATAGCAGCTCAGCTTCTATTTTCTAATTTCTGTTCAATGAAAGAATTTGGTCATAAGACTGAGTAAATGGTTGAAAGTTACTTATGTAGGCAGCAGTAGCTGGTCTTGTGTTTCTTGTGGTGTCAGGGAACAGCAGGGCCTTGCTTTAGCAGTTAGTGGCTGTATGGAATCGTTTGGGAGTGGGGAAAACCACATTTTGTTGGTGATGATAATTTGCTTCCCAGTAGTAAAATAGAAAAGCCCACAATACTTTAGTACTTTGTCCTGTAGTACTTGCCTTAAACACACCTGGTTAAAACAAAACAGTCCAGAAGGCAGGAAAAAGAGATTCATTTGAAATATGCATGTTTTGACCCAGCAATTCCAGGCATCATCAAGGATCTATTTTTATTTGTTTATTTGAGGTATGGTCTTACCACGTAGTCAGGCTAGCCTGGAATTGGCTATGTATACTAGACTGGCTTTGAACTTATGATAGTCCTCCTGCCTCTGCCTCCTGAATCCTGGAATCTAGGCATATACCACCATGTCCAGCTAAGGGTTTTTTGTGGTTTTTTTTGTGTTTTTTTTTTGTTTTTTTTGTTTGTTTGTTTGTGTGTGTATGTGTGTGTGTGTGTAGATGTATATTAGCATTAAGTATTGAAAATTGGAAACATTCCATTTTTACTGATGAGAAATGCTATATTTTTATTACCACACATGGTAGAATCATTTATGGAATTGTTTCATAAATGGGACAGTGGTTCGAATTTTAAGGATTGAAAAGCAAGTGTATAAGCTGGGCCTGGTAGTTTATAATCCCAGCTACTTGGGAGGCTGAGGCAGAAGGATTACTGTTGTGTTCAAGGTTAACTGGGGCTGCAGAATTCAACACCAGCTTCAGCAACTCAATGAAGCTCTCAAAATAAAAACTGAAAAAAGAGCTGAGGTATAGCTCAGTGGTAGAGCACTTGCCTAGCATGCACAAGGCTCCGGGTTCAGTCCTCAGCAATACACACGCGCACACACACACACACACACACACACACACACACACACACACACACTACACAGTTTATAAAGTCATGTATGGTAAAAAGAAAAAAAAGTCATGTATGGTAACCACATTATATATTTATAAACTAGAATCTAAGGAGAGTTGCAGCAAAGGGGTTGAGCTGTAGGAGTCATGCCCACCATTTTCATATCTGTTTTGTAGGAAGTTCCTGTTAATGATGGCATTGAGCTGTTGCAGATGGTCCTGAACTTTGAGATGAAGGATCCCCTCATCCTGTCCTGTGTCCTCACTAATGTCTCAGCTCTCTTTCCTTTCGTTACTTACAAACCTGAGTTCCTGCCCCAGGTCTTCTCTAAGGTATAAATGCCCATCTCTGTTGCAGATTTTATTTTAATACATTTCTAAGCTAATTCTTGGAACTGTGATGTAAACTACTCAGGAGGTGGTCATATGTATTCATCTCTCAATTGTTACTTGGTACTTATGGTGGATCAGGCACTGTGCCTGATACCTTACCCTTTAGGAGCACGGTGGGAAGAAAGTCACACGAACAGGCATTTTGCCTGCCTATACAGTATTGTAATTAATAGACTTGAACATCAGGAAACAGAAAAACCTAAGGGAGAGTATCAGAGTGCTATTGTATTGGAGTGGGGATTTCTGAGAGGCAGGAACACTGGATTGTTTTCAGGTTTTCAGTTTAGTGATTCCATGGGTGGTAAGAGCCAGCCCTGAGTAAGAATGGAGTGAATGAGTGAGTAAGATGGAGGACAACAGGAGCAAGAATGAGCTATTTTAGAATCCCAGCTCTGAAGTCTATAGAACATCTAAATGAAGCCAGTCTCAGTAAATTGGCTCTTGGAGTTTGAAACTGATGAGATAAAATTTAAGGCATTAATCATAAAAGTCTCAAAACAGTCCAGGTGTAGTGGCACACGCCTTTAATCCCAGCATTGGGGAGGCCAGCCTGGTTACATAACAAGTTCCAGACCAGCTGAGACTACAGGGAGACCCTGGCTCAAAAAAAAAAAGACAAGGAAAAAAGTTTCAAAACTAAAAGTTTAGTCATAGGAAGCAAGATCTGTATATAGACCTTGGAGATGTGTAGCTCTAGCAGGGAAGCTGGTATCACAGTAAGTGGAGGAAGAGCACAGAGGGTAAGAAACTCCCACCAACCCCTAAAAAGAAAAGAAGACTCAGCATGGGAAATGAAAAAAATACTGTCAGAGCCAGTAACATTTCAGTGAAATGGAACTTACTGCAGCAGTTTACCGAGTTTACTAAGAGTTGGAGGTCTCACGGGGTTTTGTTTGGTTGGTTGGTTTTTGCTTTGTTTAATTTTATGTGTATGAGCATTTTGCCTGCATGTATATAACACATATATGAAATGCCTGTGGATGCCAGAAGAGGTCATCACCTTTCCTGGAATGGGAGTTACAGATTGTTGTTAGCTGCTATGTGGGTACTAGGAACCAAACCCTGGTCCTCTGCAAGAGCAGCCAGTGCTCTTAACTGCTGAGCCATTTCTCCAGAGCCCCCCCCCCGTGGATTTCTTTTAAAAATACTTAATTTTTATGTGTATGAGTGTATTGCCTGCATGTATGTAAGTGCACCTGTGTCGTGCAATGCCCTCAGAGGTCAGAAGAAGGCATCGGATCCCCTGGAACTGGAGTTACAGATGGTTCTTAGCTGCCATGTGGGTGCTGGGAATCGAACCCAGGTCCTCTGCAAGAGCAGTCAGTGCTCTTAATCTGGATCCTTTGCAAGAGCAGCCAGTGCTCTATCATCTCTCTAGGCCCCCCCCCCCCCCCCCCCCCCCCCCCGTGGAGGCTCAGGAAGCACCCCACTGCTTCAGGGGAAGGTACAAATGGGCCCAGGAAGATTAGATCTCTTGTTGATTAAAAGTAGGAAAGAGAGGTTTCCTCAGCTGAGTTGTGTAGATGTTGGCATAGACTAACTGCTCTGGGAATCCATGACCTTTGTAAATGCTCTGATGGCAAAACTCAGACTCTCGAACCTCTTGGAGAAAAAGCTGAGACATTGGGTTTGTGAAGTTTTGTGACACCAAAAGGACGCTCCCTGCCACTGCTACCAGAGAACACCATGGGGTTTTTGAAGAAGCTCAAATTAACTACCATCTAATAGCACAGGAATGACCTTTTTTTTTTTTCCCCTCCTCCCCTCAGCTGTTTTCATCTGTTACTTTTGAAACTGTTGAAGAAAGTAAGGTAAGGCTACTTTTATTTTGTTGGGTTTTTTTGTTTGTTTTTTTGACACAGGATTTTACTATGTGTCCTGCTTTAGCCTTAAAATGGTAGGATAACAGGTATGTGCTGTAGTGCCCAGCTGAGACATTAATTAAACTAGCAGATTCTCTCTTAAACATTAAAGTATGAGTACCTCAAGGTTTGTCTTGACTGTTATATATGTAGAAGGTGTTAGGTAGATCGTCTTTTGTTCTCTAAACAGTCTAGGGAAAATCTGAGCGCAGTTTCATAGTAACCTTAATTGTCCCTCCATTAAACCCTTAAAACTATAAAAATGTGCCTTGAATCTGCATCTGAGACAGTCACACAATGTTAGGCTACATCAGTGAATTATATCACACTTGGCTCTGATTTTGCTGAATGTCTCTTTCCAGGCCCCCAGAACCCGGGCAGTGAGGAATGTGAGGAGGCATGCTTGTTCCTCCATCATCAAGATGTGTCGGGACTACCCTGAGCTCGTCCTGGTAAGGGCTAGACCCTGGGTGCATTGTCACTTGAGTCTTAGGTGAATCCCACTCTTGTTTTAATTCACATAAAGGAGAAACTAGGAACAGTAGCTTGGTGTAGACAAACATGTTTGAGTTGGTGTATTCTTCCATTTACCTAATAATATAGCTTAAAATTTAGCTATATTCGTCCTCAAAATGAATAGTTCTCTTATGTAAATGAGTAAGTTTACCCCTATAAATGACCACCCCTTTCCTCTGTGGTGTTCTGTTTTCTTTTGTTTCATTTTTGAGACAGGGTTTCACTACATAGCCCTGACTGACCTGGAACTCATAGAGATCTGTCTGCCTCTACTGGAATTAAAAGCATGTAACACCACGTCTAGTTCTGTGATGTTCTTAATTCCTGTTGTAAATGATTGCCTGTTTTTATTTTGTTCATTTATTATTTTTATTTTATGTGTATGAATGTATTGCCTGCATGTTTGTGAGTGCATCCATGTCCTGCAGTGCCACAGAGGTCAGAAGAGGGTGTCAGATTCCCCTTGGAACTGGAGTTAAGGACAGTTTGTAGCCGCCATGTGGGTACTGAGAATCGAACCCGGGTCCTCTGCAAGAGCAGTCAGTGCTCTTAACCGCTAAGCCATCTCTCCAGCCCCAATTTCCTGGTTTTAAGAGAAGCCATATGCAAATTCCACTCCATTTTGTGGCGGTTCTTTAAAAGTTAACATTACTCCAGATTTAAAAAACAATTAGAGGCCTGGAGAGATGGCTCAGTGGTTAAGAGCACTGACTGCTCTTGCAGAGGACCCAGGTTCCATTCCCAGCATACATATGGCAGCTAACAACCATCCTTAACTCCATCCAGTTCCAAGGTATCCAGTGCCTTCTTTCTTCTGACCTCCACAGGCATTGCACACATGTGGTGTACTTAACATACATGCAGGCAAAACATTCATAGAAATTTCTTTTCTGAATATGTAGAAGTTGTCTCCCTATATAACAAACTGATCTACAGTAACATTGATGTAGAAAAGAGTCAGACAAAGCTGTCTTCTGCCTGATTGCCTTGCTATTTAGACAAAAGAAGAACATTGTAACAAAATGACTATGTGACAGCCTTACAGGCCTGACCTCCTGAGACTGTTGATTTTCTTGCTTCCTTGAATGGCCTACTTTTCTGAAAATCAGGCCTTTTTTTCTTTGTGATATGCAGCCCAATTTTGACATGCTCTATAGCCATGTGAAACAACTCCTCTCCAATGAACTACTCCTGACCCAAATGGAGAAATGTGCCCTAATGGAAGCCTTGGTTCTCATTAGCAACCAGTTTAAGAATTATGAGCGACAGAAGTTGTTCCTAGAGGAGCTGATGGCACCAGTAGTCAGCATCTGGCTGTCTGAAGAAATGTGCAGGTACAAGAGATCTTGAGGGACCCCCTGACTCTGACTGCACTTAAGTTCCTGGTCTGTTTCTAGAGCTAGACCAGGGTGCTGAAGGAGGGTGAAAGGATTCTAGGGTGGCACTATCAGAAGTATTTGAAGTTCTTTGGAATCTCATCCCTGAAATCCAGCCTTGCTCTATGGCAGTATAGTAGGATAGGCAGTGGGTAAAGATAGCTAGCAGTCACGAGGGCATGGGAGGCTGCTCTGATGTCTGCAGTGCAGTACCAGCCAATGCCTTTGGAGAAATGAGCAGCCAGTAAGGACCAAGTGAGCTGCAGACACTGGTGCCCCTGTTGACCTCACAGTGGGTGTTTGCTTCTTCACAGTCTTTTTAATTTGTGAAGTGTTGCTGATAATATTTGGGAATGGGAAAGTGGTTTAAGCCTTCAAATGACAGCTTATAGTTAATATGCTTAAACTTTTCTCACTATTAAAACTGCTGTTTGAGGTCCAATAATCAGCCTTTTAACTTTTTTTTGAAATTTGTTTCTTATCTTATGTAACCCAGACTGACGACCTCCTGCTCACTGTTAGCCAAGGAGAACCTTGATCTAATCCTCCGTTCCTCCACCTCCCAAGTGCTGGGATTACAGGCATGTGGTAACCATGCCCGGTTTATCAGCTTGTTAGCTCTTGTGGAAGAAATTTTCCTTCCTTACAGTCATTATGTAGAAGCTGAAGAGATGGTTGAGTGGTTAAGAACACTTAATGTTCTTCCAGAGGAGCAGAGTTCAGTTCCAGCACCATGTTGGGCTGCTCACAACCACGTGTAACTTCAGCTTCAAGGGATCTTTTTGGCCTCTCAGAGCACCTGTACTTAAGTGCACATACCCACATATATACACATAGTTTAAAACAAGTAAATCTTTTAAAAAGCAGATCATGATGTAACTTCTCTTTGGCCTTCTCCCTCAGAGTGCTGTCAGATGTTGACGCCTTCATTTCCTATGTGGGTGCAGATCTGAAAAGCTGCGACCCAGCTGTGGAGGATCCGTGTGGCTTGAACCGTGCCCGAGTAAGACTCTTGGGAATGGGCAGCTGCTCTGGCCACGAGCAAGAGTTAGGGTGTTGCCATTTGTCAAGTTTCTCGTGGCTTTGTTTTGTCTGTACTGGTGAGAAACCAGGGGGAGGTGGGGGGGTGTCTCTCCTGCCCTAAGCTTCTCCTTTCTTTTCTTCTTCAGTCTTGAATTCTTGAGTTAGTCCCCACAACAGAGCAGATGGTCTTTTCTATGAAGTCATTATTTTGGCTTTAAGGATCCCTAAATAGCTCGGAAGACTGAAGGTGTAATGAGGAAGTAGGTCAGAACTTGGTCGCAGGGTGAGTCCTCCCTGCCATTGCTTTCTGGCATGTCAAGTCCTAAGTCACGGCCAAACTTGCAAGCCTGAGGCTTTCCAGTGCTTCACTACTCAAATACGCCATTGTGGCGAAAGTCACACGATTAACCTGGCATGTATGAGGCTGGTTTTGAGAAGACCATGAGTGGGGATTAGGGTGCGAGTTACCAAAGTTCAGGCTGGAAGACTAAAGGTAAAATGATGGCAGTTTAAACACTTAGTGTTGGAACTTCTTCAAGCCATCTTCTAATCAGTGTACTGTGGGAGGGTCACTAAACCCTGGAAAGACGCCCTAATGAAAGGGAAGTTTCCAGAGCCTAACACTGATCCTGAAAATGAAAGTGAGAAGACCCCTCTTGGACCTGACCTTAAAGAAAAAGACAGGGCTCTCTCAGGATGGGAGAAACAGGGTTCTTTCCTTCCCCTTGGCCTCTATCACTTTTGCTGTAGTCTTGAGTATATCGAACCATGCTCTTCCTTTTCTTTCTTTTTTATGTTTACGTTTTGCTCTTATTTCTCTATAGATGAGCTTTTGTGTGTATAGCATTCTGGGCGTGATGAAACGGACTTGCTGGCCTTCTGATCTAGAAGAGGCCAAAGCTGGAGGATTTGTGGTGGGCTATACTCCCAGTGGAAATCCGATCTTCCGTAACCCCTGCACAGAGCAGATTCTGAAACTTCTAGACAATTTGCTTGCCCTTGTAAGGTAAGGCAGAATAGTTCTTATTTTATTTTTAAATTTAAGAATCTTAAAAGTTTAATCTGTTTATGTCTTATCATGGTGGTATTGACGAATTAGGTCTTGATTCTGTTAGGAGGGGGACTCTGTGTGTTGTATTCTCTCTGTATAGGTGGATGAGAGTAATCCCAAAATAGTTTTTTTCATTTTGACTTTCTCCATCTTCTTTTTTTCAGCCTTTTTGAGACAGGGTTTTCCTTGTAGCCCCAGCTGGCCTGGAACTCAGATATGTAGACCAGGCTGGCCTGGAACCCACAGAGATCCACCTGCTTCCCAAGTGCGCCACCACACCTGGCCTTTATTATTTTTATTTTATGTATAAGTGTATTGCTTGTATGTGTATAAGTGCACCTGTGTCATGTAATGCCTGAGGAGGTCAGAAGGCATCAGATTCTCCTGGAACTGGAGTTACAGGCGGTTGTTTGGCACCATGTGAATGCTGAGAACTGAATCTGGGTCCCTTCCTTCAAGAATAACCAGTGCTCTTAACTTCTGACCCATCTGTCCAGCCCCATTTTTTTTAATACAGCTTTGGTTTTGTTTTTCATTTTGATGATGATGCTGGGGATTAAACTCAACCTTGTGCATGCAAGCCAAATACTCTATCACTGACAGAGCCCTTCTACTTCTTTATAGTTCATCCCTACTTTAAAGTTTAGTTAGTATTAATTTTTACCATTAAGGAGTGACTCATTGGGAGCAGGACAATTGCTTTCTGTAGTGGAGTTTCTCCAAATAGTACCCATATGAGCTCCTGTGAATTTTTCACTAACGACTGAACTAAAATGAGCCAAACATCTACTGGCTGACCATGCCAGAGGAGAGGGGACACCTCTTTCATCTTAGTTTGCTAGGCTTTACCTATGATCAGTAGCATCCTCAGTCACCTGAGCACATATTTGAAAGGCAGAACCAGGGCCCCACTCCAGGTTCCACATTTTGACAAGATCTTTGGGAATTTCATATACACATTAAATTGTCAGAATCACTGTTCAAGGCAGTTGGCCTGTATGGGCTGGTTGGTTGTGTGAAGTATGATTTATGATTCAGGGATGCTCTCTAAAGAGAGAAGGATGGGGCTTTGTTGTTGTTTCATTTTTTTGTCTTTTTTGAGACAGGGTCTCCCTGTAGCCTAGCTGTCCTGGAACTCACTATGTAGCTGGCCTTGAACCCACAGAGCTCTGCCTGCCTGTGCCTCCCAAGTGCTGGGATTAAAGGTGTGTGCTACCATACCTGGCGAAGGATGGGGTTTTATGTTTTTAATTTTGAGCTTTATAGAAATGAAATTTTTTTAAAATACGAGCTTTTTGGTATCTAGCTTCTTTTGCTCAATATTATGTGTGTGAGAGCTGCCCATGTCATTGCAGTAAAGGTCTGTTGATTTTTTTTTTTGGTCTTTTTGAGACAGGGTCTCCCTGTAGCCCCAGCTGTCCTGGAACTCACTATGTAGACCAGGCTGGCCTTGAACTCACAGAGATCACCTGCCTCTGCCTCCTGAGTGCTGGGATTAAAGGTGTGCGCTACCACGCCTGGCAGGTCTGTTGATTCTTATTGCCTAAATGTTATTCCATTTTTGGATGTGCTATCTCTTATCCCTAAAGAGGCCATTGGACAGTGTTTTAATAATATAGAGTTGCTGTTACATTCTTGCAAATGTCTTAGTAAGATACATACATAATTTCTTAATACATAGAGGAATGGAATTACTGAATTATAAGGTATGTATATTTTCAGTTTTCATAGTTAGAGCTGGCTCTCAAAAGTGGTTGTACCAGCCAGGTATGGTGCTGCATGCCTTTAATCCCAGCATTCAGGAGGCAGAAGTGGGCCGATCCCAGCTGGGGCTACAGGGAGACCCTGTCTCAAACAAAAAGAAAAGATCATACTGATTTATGCTCCCAGCAATTGTATATGGGATTGATGAGGTTTTGGTTCATTTTTTTGTTGCATTTGTTTTTGGAACAGTATACCAAAAGCCCTTTTTGGAGGGGAATGGGGGTTACTGACCAGTTCAGGTCCATGTGGAGGCCAGATGCTGAAGTCAGGATACTTTTCCTTTATCACTTCTCTTTTTAATTTTTTGAGATAAGATTTCCTTATGTAGCTCTGGCTGGCCTTGAACTTGCTTTGTAGACTAGGCTGGTATTGAACTCACAGATATCTATCTGCCTTCTAAGTGCTGGTATTGTTTTTTGAGACAGAATCTTTTTTTTTTTTTTTTTTTTTTTTTTTTTTTTTTTTTTTTAGTTTCCCTGTAGCTCCAGTTGCCTGGAACTCACAGAGGATCAGCCTGCCTCTGCCAAGTGCTAGGATTAAAGGCATACGCCACCACACCCGGCTAAGACAGGATCTCTTATTCTAACTGAAGCTTGAAATTTCGGCTAGACTGGCTGCCTAGCCTTTGGGACCTGCCTGGCACTGAGGTTCTAGGCATGTGCTGCTGTGCCTGGCTTTTATATGGTCATGGGTTCTGAGGACTAATGTCTTGTCTTCATGCTTTCATAACAAGTACTTTACCCATTGAGCCACCTCCCCAGCCCCTTTTCTTAATTATATCTTGGGATGGCTGGCAGCTCTTTTTTAAAATACAGGGTCTCATATAACTTAAGCCTGATCTTCCTTATTCCACCTCAAAATTTCTGGGATTACATGCATGTCCCATCGTAACTGGCTATTTTTTTTTTAATATTTTTATTAATTTTTTTACGTGCATGTATGTAAGTGCACCGTGTCTCACAATGCCTGCAGAGAACAAGAGGCTGTCGGATCCTCTGGAACTGGAGTTACAGTTGTTAGCTGACATGTGGGTGCTGGGAATCAATCAAACCCAGGTCTTCTACAAGAACGGTCAGTGTTCTTAACCGCTGAGCCATCTCTCCAGTCCCTGAATTTTTTTTTGGGGGGGGGAGGCTTTTTTGAGACAGGGTCTCCCCATAGCTCCAGCTGTCCTGGAACTCACTAGGTGTAGACCAGGCTGGCTCAGAACACCAGAACACACAGATATCTGCCTGCCTCTGCCTCTCAAGTGCTGGGATTAAAGGTGTACGCTACCATGCCTGGCTTTTTTTTTTTTTTTATTTGATAAGCACATTTAATTAAAGAATAGATGGGGTTGGGCTGGAAAGATGGCTCAGTGGTTAAGAGCACTGACTGCTCTTAGAGAGGACCCAGGTTCAAGTCCAAGCACACAGGATGGCTAACAACCATCCATAACTCAGATGCCTTCTTCTGACCTCCTCCAAGGGCATTGTGTGACACGGGTGCACTTACATACATGCAGGCAGTACACTCATACACATAAAATAATAAATAATTTTTTAAAATAAAGAAGGAAAACAGCAATCAGGCATAGTGGCACAGGCCTATAATTACATCACTTGGAGGCTAAGGCAGGAGTATCTTTGGCATAAGTGCCTATCTCAAAAAATAAAACAGGTGGCTGGAGAGATGGCTCAGTGTTTAAGAGCATTTATTGCTTTTCCATACATAGGACCTGGGTTTGGTTCCCAGTACCCATATGGCAGCTAACACCCATCTTTAACTCTAGTTCCAGGAGCTCCAGTGCCCTCTTCTGGCCTTCATGGACATTGTATCCATGTGGTATACTTAACATACATGCAGGCAAGACATTTATAAACCCAAAGTTAAAATAAATTAAAAAAAAAAAAAAAAAGCTGGGCATGGTGGCACATGCTCTCAATCGCAGTACTTGGGAGGCAAAGGGAAGCCTCAGCATTTGAGGCTAGTCTGGTCTTCATAATTCATTTCAGGCCACCAAGGGCTTATATAATGAGACCCTGTCTTTAAAAAATAAAAAGTAAATAGATTGGGTGGCACACACCTTTAATCCCGAACACTGGGGAGGCAGAGGCAAGTGGATCTCTCTGAGATTGAGGCCAGGGTGGAGCTACAGGGAGACCCTGTCTCAAAAAAAAAAACAAACGGGCTGTAGAGATTGCTCAGTGGTTAAGAACACTGACTGTTCTTGCAGAAGACCTGGGTTCGAATCCCAGCACCCACATGGCAGCTAACAGCTGTCCATAACTCCGGTTCCAGGGGATCCGACAGCCTCTTCTGTCCTCTGCAGACATTGTACAACATGGGTGCACTTACCTACATTCAGACAATACACTCATACACATAAAATTAAAAATTAAACAACAAAAATAAATAAAACTAGAATAGCTCATTTGCTCACTGTCAAGTTTAAGGTAATTTCTTCAACTAATTGTATCAGATAACTTTATATTATTGACATCTTGCCAAACAACTGAGAGAAAATTACTCCAGAAAGCAAAAATAGCAAATTGCAAAATTTTGGGGTGGCGGGCAGGGGGTAGGATGATGACAATAGGGACCTTGCTATGTAGTCCACCTGGGCTCAAACTCAATTCTCCTGCTTCAGTGTAGCATTACTTTTCTGGGAAGACATGAACAACTGATAAGGTACTAATGACAGACCCAAAAATGATTCCACCCAAGTCTGGCTTGGTGAGCCACTGAGTTTATTAGAATTATTTATGGGAGCATGGATGACCCAGAGACAGCTACATCACCAACACCCCCCACCCCCACTGCCACCTAGCATACATCCCTTGAGTCCCTGCACAGTTTACAGGTAGCTTCACCACTACAGTCTCCTCTCTGTAGGAACTGTTTATGGTTTATAGTAACCTTGCAGAGAGCCCAGTGAGTCTGTTGTTGTTGTTTTGCTTGATGGTGTTTTTTGAAACTGGGAGAGAGCTATGGCCATTAGTATTTGCCTAGCATATATGAAGCCAAAGGCTCAGTTCCCAGTACTACAAAAAAGTGAAGGAGGGGAACTGGCTATTGATGATGCAGTGCACCCATTGGTGTGGGCATGAGGAAATGAGTCCTGTCCACAGTCCTTGTTCTTAGTAATACATAAGTCATTCAAATGGGAATGTGTGGGGATTTTTTTCCTCTAAGCTTAAAAGAATTTTTAAGTGATACTGCTCTGATACTGTCCTTCAGCCTCGGGATTCGGCTCCTGTGTTACTGCACTGTAGAGGTTGATACTGTATAGTTAGTTAGTTAGTTAGTTAGTTAGTTAGTTAGTTAGTTAGTTAGTAGCTAGACAGCCTTATCCAGGGAGTGCTCAATGTTTATTTCCTTGACCTTGCTGGTTGTAATGTTGATGGGCATCTATGTGAAAGACTGCATTCATATAACATCCTTGTTTTTCCTTCAGAACCCACAATACTTTATACACACCAGAAATGCTAGCTAAAATGACAGAGCCTTTCACCAAGGCCCTGGATATGCTTGAATCCGAAAAAACTGCTATATTAGGTAAGAACGGTAACCTCCCCACTAAGTTCACCTTAACCCCCTTATCTGGCACTGCTGTGACCACCTAGCAGGAAATGCCTGTGTGTAGTCCTAGAGGCTCTACAAGAACACATTCATCACCGACGGCACTTGTAGTGTTGATATGCTTTTCTGCCATATGTGGGGTACAATCAAAATTTTTAAAGGAATTGATTCTAAGACACATTTCTTAATTTTTACCATAATTAGAATATTGCTTACTCATTTCTGCCATTGATAAACACAGTAACAACATGTAGTCCTAATTCTGGTATTTGCTGTGGAAGGAAAGTGGCAGGAATTTGTGAGATTTGATTTGGAAATCTAGTCTAGTTTGCCTGGAAAGTTGACTCCCAGTGAAATCTTGAAGGGTCAGTAAGCACTAAATTGAACACAGGAGAAACTGTTGGTTGGGGATGTAGCTCAGTGGTAGAATGCTTGACTGCCCCTAGGTTCAATTCCCAGTTGGGGATGGAGGGGGAGAAAGATCTAACACCTTTAGGATAGTGCTGGTACATCCATCTAGTAGAAGGTGTGGCCCACTGCTTTGTAAGTATAGTAACGCACATACACCCACACAAGAGACCATGTGTGCCTACTTTCAGATGTTGCTGTTTGAGACTGGTATCAGCAGTGTAGCATGTTCCTGTATGTCTTCTCTCTGTAGGATTACCTCAGCCTCTCTTGGAACTTAACGACCATCCTGTCTATAAGACAATCTTGGAGAGAATGCAGCGTTTCTTCAGCACGCTCTATGAAAACTGGTAAGGAGGAGGGCGACTCTGCTTCTTCAGGTTTTCTTGATCAATAATCACTTTGTAGGAGTGGCCAGTGCATAGACTTTTGATCTAAAATTCCAGTGGAGAGGTACGGTGAAGCAAAGTTAGAGGGAGGTTGGAGCTAATGTTAAATCCAGGCAAGCAGCTTGCTTTCCTGTAGTGCTTCTTTTTGATTGTCACATGCCCCTCTCAGTCCTGGCCATGACTTGGAGTTTATGCCCAATTTTTCTCATGTTTGTAGTATATAAAATGATGAGGCCGAAAAGATAGTGATGGGGCTGCACCAGCTCTGACTCCTCAGTGTTTGCAGTCTGCTTCCCCAGGACAGTGGGGGTCACTGGCCAGGTTTTTGTCTTTGGGTCCTGCGTAGGGGATGTAGTGGTACTCAGCTCCATCCATACCATTCCCAGGGCTACACCTTGATTAACCAAGTGTTTTAAGAATCTTTAGGGAAGTCAGGACTAGTAATATTGGATATCAGATATGTCATCAATAATGCTTTTGCCTTACAGTTTCCATATCCTAGGGAAGGCAGGCCCTTCCATGCAGCAAGACTTCTACACGGTGGAGGACCTTGCTACCCAGCTCCTTGGTTCAGCCTTCGTCAACTTGAACAATATTCCTGACTTCCGACTCAGATCTGTGCTTCATATCCTTTCAAAAGTCCCCCAGTAACCAAAGGGTCTAGGATTTTGTAACTGCATCACGATCTCTTTAAAGACCAAAAGATTAAAATAAATAGCAGAGAAAACAGTTCCAGGGGTCTTAGCTTCCTTCTTGCCATTAGGAGTTTTTCTCTGGAGATGATTTGTTGCCTTCCTACTTCTTAGAAAAGTAAAAAACAAAGTTTTGTTTTTATTTTTTGTTTTGTTTTTAATCTTTTTTGAGACAGGGTCTCCTTGTAGCCCCAGCTGGCCTGGAACTTGCTATGTAGACCAGGCTGGCCCCGAACTCACAGAAATCCATCTGCCTCTGCCTTCCAAGTGCTGGGACTAAAGGCATGCACCACCATGCCAGGCTCCCTTTCCTATAATTTGCCTAGTATTTCCTTTTTGGTGGTTTTGGTTTTGTTTTGTCGGGAACCTCTTCCTCCCCCTACCCCTTTATATTTTTTATTTTTGTTTTTTGTGCTGGTGGTGGTTTTGAGCCAGGGCCTCACTACATAGCCCTGGCTATCCTGGAACTTAGTGTATAGACTAGCCTGGCCTCAAATTCAGAGACCTGATTGCCTCTTCTTCCCAAGTGCTGGGATTAAAGGCACCAATCACCGTGCCTGGCAGTTTTAATGTGTGTGTTTTTTGTCTGCATGCTTGTATGTTCATGCCATACCCACAGAGACCAGAAAGGTCCTCAGATCCCCTGGAACTGGAGGTACGGGTGATTGTGAGAGGCCATGTAGATGCTGGGAATCAAACCCAGGTCCTCTGCAAGAGCAGCCAGTGCTCTTTCCAACCCATCAGGGACTCTATATATAGCCCAGGCTAGCCCTAAACATGCCACTCTCCTGCCTCTGCTTAGTAAGTGTTGGGATCCCAGGCATGTGCCACCAGCTGGCTTTTGTGTGTTGTTTTTGTTTTAAATAACACTAGATTGTCTAGACTGACGTGAAACTCATGGACTCAAGTGTTCTTCCTGCTCAGTCTCCTGGGTAGCTGGATCTAGAGATGACTGCTACTGTACCTAGCTACATTCTTTCCTTAAAGGAATACTATAATTCCATTGTCCTTCAGACTCTTTCACATTTGGGTGTCTTTTTAACTTTTCTGCTTTTGGGCAACCCAGTGCCCATAATGTGGAGACTGGTAGAAAAAGACAATTGAGCAAAAAATACAAAGGTATTGATTGTCAGTGAAGCTTAGGATTTTACAACAAGAATGTGGAAATTTTCCCGTTAACACTGGATGTTCTTGGCATCTTCAAAGCCCAGTGGGGGTGGACTGCCCAGTAGAATAGCCAGTTAACTAGAAAGTGAAAGGTCTTTCCAGTGCTAAAAACCTTAACCCACCATTGCACGTGTCTTTGTGAAACCTCTTGTGCTCTTCTGTCCCCCAGAGCACTATGAAGCCCTGGTCTCCCCTATCCTTGGACCTCTTTTCACCTACCTCCACATGGTAAGAGTCGGGTTAGGGAAAGGGGACAAAGAGGGTTGTTGGGGTTTTTTTTTAATATTTATTATTTCTATTTTATGTGTATGAGTGTGTTGCCTGCATGTATGTGAGTGCACCTGTGTCGTGCAGTGCCATGGAGGTCAGAAAAGGGCTTCAGATTCCCCTGGAACTGGAGTTAAGGACAGTTCGTAACTGCCATTTGGGTGCTGGGAATTGAACCCGAGTCCTCTGCAAGAGCAGTCAGTGCTCTTAACTGCTGAGCCATCTCTCCAGCACCCAAAGAGTACTCTTAAACACATGGTCTGGGCTGGGGAGATGCCTCAATCTGTATAGTGCCTGTGACATAAGCATGAAGACATAAGTGCAGATCCCAGAACTCACATAAAAGCCAGGTTGGTGGCCTACATTGGTAAAACCCCAGCTCTGGGAAGGCAGAGAGAACCTGGAAAACAGAACTCTGCCACTCATTGTCCACATAGCCACCCAGATTGATAAGCTCCAGGTTCCCAGAGACTCTGTCTCAAAAAATAGTGATGGAGGACAACACCCAACATTGACCTCTGGCCTCTATATACATGTGCATGCACTCAAACATATAAATACAAGACACGCCAGGCATGGTGGCGCACGCCTTAATCCCAGCACTTGGGAGGCAGAGGCAGGTGGATCTCTGTGAGTTCGAGGCCAACCTGGTCTACATAGTGAGTACCAGGACAGCTGGGGCTACAGGGAGACCCTGTCTCAAAAAGACCAAAAAAAAAATTAACATCCAAGAATGGATGTTAACCTTGTCCCTGTTTTAACAAAGCTAGGAAGTTATTCCGAACATTAACTCAAATTCCTGTTGTAGAACACTTCATCATATTTGGGCCTTGGTATAATTCAGTTCACAATTCAGAAAACATCCTTAGGTTGATTTAAGGACTAGTTACTTTCGGGGCTGGAGAGATGGCTGGCGGTTAAGAGCACTGACTGCTCTTGCAGAGGACCTGGGTTTGATTCCCAGCACCCACGTGGCGGCTATGACCCATCATTAACTCCAGTTCCAGAGGAATCAGAAGCCGTCTTCTGACCTCTGCAGCATCGCACGATACAGGTGCACTCATATATATGAAGGCAGTATACTCATACACATAAAAATAAAAATTTTTTTTTAATTTTTTTTTTTAAAAGGACCAGCTAGTTTCTATCCAAGTAATCATTTCTGCTTAAAGTAGACCTTAATAGCCAGGTGTAGTGGCTAGCACTGTAAACCAGCCCTGGGGAGGCTGAGACAGGAGGAACACTTACAAGTTTGAGGCCAGCACAGTAAGTTCCAGACTAGGCTAGTCTCCAGAGTAAAACTTTGTCACAAAAAAAGACAATACTGAAGAGATGGCTGCTCTAGCAGAAGACCCAAGTTCTGTTCTGAGCACCCACATGGGTAACAGCTGGGTAACCCTTGTTTCATGGGATTTGACACCCACTTCTGGCTTCTGCAGGGATTGAATGTATATGGTGCACTTAGCATACCTGCTGAAAAATAGAAATGAATTTAAGACAGTAAACAGTAGTAGCCCTTAGGTGTGTGCTCAGTCTTCTCCCTGTCCTAGCACTCCTTCCTCTATTTCTCCAGAGGCTTTCCCAGAAGTGGCAAGTCATCACCCAGAGGAGCCAGCTGTGGTAAGGAATGCCCATTCCTTGGCGGATGCACTGGCCCCCAGGCTTGGGTGGGGTAAAAAAGGGGGCAGGAATTCCACTACTCTAGCCCAGATCATAGGTGGTTTGTTGGGCAGGCTGTGACCAGTGGCCTGTTGCAGAGATGAAGCTTCCTGTAGGCACTACTCCCTTGTCTACACTTTTAGCCCTGAACTCTCTCAATTGAAGTCACAAGTAATCATGTCCCTCAGTGGATTGCCATCCATTCCCAACATGTTTGTAGAGCATAGACCTAGAGAAAGCCAGGAGAGGAATGGGCCTAGAGTGGCTGGAGAGGGTCAGCGTTTTCCTTACCCTTTGTTCCCTCTTTGTTCTCCCATGGAACTTGGTCTCTGGTTTTTGGCAGTGGAGAAGATGAGATTGTAGAGGACAATCCAGAGTCTCAAGAGATGCTGGAGGAACAACTGGTGAGGATGTTAACCCGAGAAGTCATGGACCTAATCAGTAAGTGGCATGTGGGAACCAGGGCTGGTAGAAGAGTTTTCCAGGAAAAGCTGCTCACTTCAGAAATTCAGGTTGACAACTAATTTCCCAGATAGAAGCCAACTAACTTTTACATCGTCCTAAGGACATTTTCTGAATTTTGAAATGAATTGTATCAAGGCCTAAACATAAAGAAGTGGCCTAAAATAGGAATTTGAATTAATATTGGGAATAACATCCTAGTTTGGTCAAAGTAAGGAAAAAGTTTAATTCTTGGACATGGACATGATTTTTCTTTTTAGAAATGTTAAAGAATTCAGTACTTGGTCGTATACTCCCGATCCAGTGTAGCCAGTCACCTTCCCTGGTCCTGTACTCTTCGAGGATTCTGTGTTTTGCCCCTAGCTAACTGAATCTGAAGATGGACTGGAACACAGCTGATCAGGGCCAGCACAAGCACAGTGTTGCTCTCTGTATTGGTGAATTTGATTTTTGTTTCTTGGACAGTAGCCACCACTTTTCATCTGTCCCAAAACTTTAGACTCAGTTGGCTAGAGGTGACTTATATGGTGGGTAGATAATAATCATCTCTTCATCCAGTAACTTTCTTATTTTAGCGGCTTGCTGTGTATCAAAGAAGACTGCTGACCACAATACCACTCCAGCTGCAGATGGAGATGGTAAGTGAACCTGTTGCCTGGCCTTTGGAGAATGAGAGAGGATATATCTAGCTATTCTTTGTTGCTTTTTTTTTTTTGAGATATGGCCTCCCTGGTCCCCCAGCCAGGCGGAACTCACTATTCAGACCAGGCTGGATCCACCTGCCAATCCAATGCTGGGGTTAAAAGGCGGGTACCACCAAGCCTGGCCCCTAGCTGTTGTTTATGCTGGCCTTTGTATTCGATTTCCTTCAGTATAACCCTACCTCAACCTTGACATTTGCTGTTTCCATTATCCAAAGTGGTTTTCTTTTTAGATAGACATGACCCTAATCTCTTGCTTATTCCATTTCTGCTCAAATGTTACCTCCTCCAAGAGATCTTCATGCCAAACACTGCAGTCCCAGGCATTCTACAGTCTTCTCTGCTTTATTGTTTTTCTTGTTCCTTTCCACTATCTGCATTATGGTTTTGGCGTTTGTTTTTGTGAGACAAGGCCATACTATGTAGCCCTGGTTTGCCTAGAACTCAGAGATCCACCTCCCTCTGCCCCCAAGTGCTGAGATTGAAGGTGTGTACCACCACATTCAGCTACATTATATTTTTATTTAATCTTTAAAGGCTTGTCTTCCTCACTAGATATATAGGCTATCATCAGGGAAGTGACTGTCCTATTTCTCTTATACCCCAGTAACTGATTCCGTGCCTGTCACCATGGGCACTCACATATGAAATATCCTCAGTATCTGCAGCCTGAGTTGCTGCCTGGCAGCTCACATTCATCATGCACAGCTACATGTGTCTAGATGTGTTAGGCTAAGGTGCCCATGTCTTTTCATGGGGTGGAGGGTTTTCTAGTTCTCCTCCACACCAACCAGCCAGGACACTTCATTTTGGATGTTCCTCTTTGTTGTGATAAAGCTTAACATTCTGCATTGCTTACAGATGAAGAGATGATGGCCACAGAGGTAACCCCTTCATCTGTAGCAGAACTCACAGACCTAGGCAAATGTCTGATGAAGCATGAGGTGGGTATCGGGTCAGGTGGTACCTATTCTTGTCCAACTTCCACTTTCCTCACTCTGGGGAGATGCTCTCAAGAAAATACTGAGGCACATTGCTACGAATTCCTGTTTGGGCTCCCTGGGCCTGAGCTTTATGTTATGTATTAGTTCTTTTTTATTGGCTGCTACACAGAAACAGCAAGTAATCTTACTAGCTGCTTTTCTAAATATTTCATTTATTATTATTTTATGTGTATGCGTTTATTGCGTACACCCCTGTTGTGCAATGCCCATGGAGGACAGAAGAGGCCGTTGGATCCCCTGGAACTGGAATTATGGACAGTTGTTAGCTGCCATGTGGGTGCTGGGATTCAAACCCGGGTCTTCTGCAAGAACAGCCAGTGTTCTTAACTGCTGAGCCATCTCTCCAGCCCTACTAGCTGCTTTTATTATTTTCTTGCTTACTGATTAAAGCTCCAGTTCTTGATGTGAATACAAGCAGAAAACAACTCCTCTATTGTTCCTTTTCTTCCTTTCCTGTTCAGGATGTTTGCACTGCACTGTTAATTACAGCCTTTAATTCTCTGACCTGGAAGGATACCCTGTCTTGCCAGAGGACAACCACACAGCTCTGCTGGCCTCTCCTCAAACAAGTATGCATTCACCCTATATTAAGGATGGGTTTGTCTGTCTTTGTAATAGTGGGGAGGGAACCTAAGAATATAAGCATGCTAGGCAAGCACTTTACCATTGAGCAACATCCTCAAGTCACTTTTTTCCTTTTTATTTTGAGACAGGGTCTTGCTGAGTTGCTCAGGCAGGCCTTGAAGCCATGCCAGCCTTCTTGCTTCAGCCTCTTTATAAAGTAGTTGGGATTACAGACCTAGATCACATTAGTTACTATTTATTGCTGTGAGCAAAATTATGTGATAAGACAACATAAGGAAGAGGTGGTTTTGTTTTGTTGGGTTTTTTTCTCATAGTTTCAGAGGGATTTCAGTCCATCAAGGCAGGGACGTCATGGCTGAGTGCATGGTGGCAGGAGCATATGGTGATAGCTGTTCCCAGCACAGCAGACAGGAAGCAGAGAGCACAGGCCAGAACCAGGGTGTAACTGTTAAACAGCCCACCTCTAGTGACACTTCTGCCAGTCAGGCCCCAACCTTCAAAGTAGTAGCATCACAAGCTTCAAAATGAGTACTCAAAACATAAGCCTGATAGGGGTATTTCAGATTGAAATCATTACACACCCCATGTCCCTGACTCTCATAGTAGTTTAGTTTAGGTCAGGCCAATTGACTGAATATTGGAAGAACTGGGGTGCTCGGCTTTCCAGGGCCCCTGTGGCTCCTGAACACAGCTGTCTCCCCAGGTGATGACTGGGACCCTGCTCGCAGATGCTGTCACATGGCTTTTCACCAGTGTGCTGAAAGGTTTACAAATGCACGGGCAGCACGATGGGTGCATGGCTTCCCTGGTTCACCTGGCCTTCCAGATATATGAGGCACTGGTAAGTAGAGATTGCATGGGGACAAGATGGCTGGCAGCCTCTGTTCAACCTGTCCCCAGGATCTTGAGCCTTGGCCTAAAAGCATCTACCACGCTGCCTATGCTGTCCCTGAGAGGTGGGTATGGCAGGAAATGGGGAAATGGCAGGACCAAACCTGTATCAAGTGAGTTTCTCCCACTTCCCAGCGCCCCAGGTACCTGGAGATAAGAGCTGTGATGGAGCAAATCCCTGAAATACAGAAAGACTCTCTGGACCAGTTTGATTGCAAGCTCTTAAACCCCCCCTTGCAGAGAGCTCCTGATAAGCGACGGAAGGACCACTTCAAACGACTCATTGCTGGCTGCATTGGGGTAAGTCATGCCTCTGATAGTGCTCCCAGCCCCATAAACTGAGTTATAGGTAAACCAGAAACCAACTAGTCATTGACTTATGTAATGACGAGATGGTCTCTTTCTTACTACCTGGGCCCAGCATCAGTTCTTTCTTGCTTGTTTTCCACAGAAACCCTTGGGAGAGCAGTTCCGAAAAGAAGTTCACATTAAGAATCTTCCCTCACTTTTCAAAAAAGCAAAGCCAATGCTGGAGACAGAAGTGCTGGACAGTGAAGGGGGTGGACTGGCCACCATCTTTGAACCCTGAATCAAGCTGTTGGGCACCCTTCTTCAGCCTTTGTTGTCATCTCTTCTCCCCCTCCATAGCTAATCTCTAGGCCCTTCTTGCACTGCCACCTCACTTTCCACCATGGTCAGCCTGGAGACAGATCCAGGTCAAGCTGGAGAAGAGTGGGCCCTATATAGGGCCCTCAGGTAATTCTACTAAAGTATTGAGAAAAGGGAGTTAGGGCTCACACCATTCCACAGAGATGCCCCAAGTAGCTCGCATTCTACTTGGAGGTCCGGCTTTTCCAAGAAAAGCCAGAGCAGAACAGCCCTTCCCCAAGCCATCCTGTCCCCACACAGCTCCATGTGCAGATGAGAACTAGGGGTGCTGTGCCCAATACCACAAGTGGCCAACCACAAGGGCTCAGCCCTCAACTTGTGCCAGTTTTTCCTGGACCACAAGAGTCCCATTGAACCCCTTGCTGCTGGGCTGACAGGAACCCTCTCCACTCCCAGAGGCATGTCTGGCCTAGGTGCTACATGCTGAACTCAACTTGGCCAGTTCTCTCATCTTTGTCTTGAGTAAGAATTTGGTCACCCAATGGGATCCACAGTACAGGCCATTTCTGGAGTCTGGGCACAGTATCCAGTGTAATACCTCCAGGAATGAGGGCTAGGTAGTTTAGAGCCAACCAACATTGTGTCCCTTAGAACGCACATCTTGCCCTTCCATGAGTGACTCTTGGGTTTCTCCAGCCCATCAGGGTCTACTCAGGCATAATAGCCTCAGTGCCCTACTCTGTCACATGATACCAAGTGTCATACAAGAATAATCCAGATCAACTAGGCTCACATGTGACAAACTACAAAGCCACTGACCCTTCTAGGATTAGCTGAGCAGGTGCCTTTAAAAGTCTCATGGTCTTTTAGGTCCCTGATGACTTTTTCTCAAAAGTCATTTCTAAAACAAAAAAGAAATTAAGATTTCCTATCACAGCCTATACTGTGTCTCCCATCCTTGGTCCTGGAAGAGACAGAAAACAGAGGGAGATGGGTGCAGGATCTAGCTGAGGTTATGAAAGGCAGGTTTGATCTATCTAGAAACCAGTGTGTGTCCATGTGCTCTGACAGGCTCTCTCTCCGTCCAGCCCTGAGCAAGGTGGCAGTGGGGCAGAATAGCACACCACAGGTGCACACAGAAAGGTTGGGAGGAGTCCAAGCCTGGGAAATGGACTTGGGAGTTGCTGCCTGCTGCACAAGACTGCCCCCTCTTCCTGTGTGGTGCTTGGGATTCTATAGATTATGAAGGTGATCTCAGTATTTCCCTCCGAACCTGTTAAGCTGCCTACTCCCTGTCTGGTTGGGGCTGTGGAGGACATAGTTATATTTATTATGTTGTAATATTTTTAACATCCTATGACTTCATGCTAGAAATTTTCTATTGTTTATAGAACCTTTTGTAGAAATGCTAATTCTAAAGTACAACTTGCATGTCAGTAAAATCTGTTTCGTACAGAAAGGGCCCTATCTTCCTTTTTCCAACCAATGACATACTTGAAGGTTACTTCAGAGGGACCAAATAGGAATGTTTATGGGCTTGCTGTCAGAAGAGATTTCTATCCCTGGCCACCTAAACTAAGTAGCCTATATTATTCAAAGTGTTTCCCTATAGGGCACTTGGCCCTAATAGTCTGTCCAAAAGGAATTGCTATTCTCTGGAGCTGTCTGTAGCAAACTGGCTCAGACTGTCAGAACAAGCCTCCATCAGGAGCATCCCTGGAAGCCTATGGTAATGACACACTGACTACACCTCAGTGTGGCCTTTGATGGAAGGCTTTTAGGACAAAGTCTCAACCCACAATGATGTCTTCCATTTTTTGTTATGGATGTAGTTGGTTTTGTTTTTTTTTTCTGAGACAGGGTCTCCCTGTGATCCCAGGGGGCCTGGAACTTACTGTGTGATCTCTCAGAGATCCACCTGCCTCTGCCTCTTGAGTGTGGGGGTTAAAGATGTGTGCCATCAGGCCCAGCTTGACATCTTCCATTCTTAGACCTGCTCTTAGAATGAGGCGCCATGTTTTTAGACCAAAATATAAGTAACAGCCTGAAAACATTTTTTCTGAAACATGAATTTATTTACATCAAGGGCCTTACAAAGGCATTAAGTTTTACTCTGTGGCACATTTAATAAAATGTATTGACTGAAAATAAAGCTGGAATTGGACCTGTAGTCACACTGGCCACAGTAGTGCCGTGAGGGCAGGTCATAACCCAGGAACAGCCAAGCTGCATACTCAGTCCATCTGAACTGCATCCAGTTCGTCTAAGAAGCGCCGGCACTTCCCCATCAGCACTTTGATAGCTTCACTCACCAGCACATCTGGTGGCAATACTCCAGTTGACTCCACAGAAACTAGAGACCAAAAAGCCCAGGCAGGACTTACCCTCACAATACAGGCCAGCTCTAAATCCTCTCCCTGGGTTCTGAAGGGAAACTAAAGCAAAGAGTCACCACTGCTACTCACAGATATAATGATCCCGAACACGGGCGAGCTGCACTGCCTTCTTCAGCTTCTCGTGCCGGAAGATCTCCCTGCTGAAGGTATCTAGCCGTGGATTTGCCACTCTGGCCACCTTTTTACCTAAGGAAACAACCATGTCACACATTGCCTATGCGGAGTCTAAGAACTTCCATTTTCTACCATTTTCAAAGAAATACTTAAAACAGCACTCCAAATATCATACCTTGTACTTCCTGAACCTCAATAACACCAGGTGAGAAGCACTGGCTCAGTTCCTCAGCAGCCTCGCCTTCCACAGGCTCAAGCAAGGTGATGTCTGGCAGGAGCCTATAGCTGGCTGTTGCCACCGGCGAAAACTTGGCATGATCTTTGCCTGTGAGAAACCCTTTGTCATTCTCCTAAGCCACTGGCAACAAGAATATTGGCTTTCTGCCTGTTGAGCATCTCAGGTGAGTTCCTTAGTCACATTGTGCGCTACTGCAGTAGACTGCCCCCGCCCCCAGGCAGGCCCGCTGGATTCTCACCAATGCCCTTGACGCAGTGCATGATCAGGTCAATCTCCTGGCCAGGCCGAAGCTGAGCAATGAGGATATCATCATGCACCGGGCGAATAGTGCCCTCCGGGAAGACATCAGCCTGGTTTCCCAAGGGGACCCATGCCATGTGCCTGGTATATACTAGAGGGAAACATGTCAGAAAATCCCAGACCCTAAAGCCAGCATCTTAGCCCATGGGTCCTCTTTGTCACCATTACTCACCTTTGTGGTTTATGTAGAGTTCATTGGGGTCAGAGGAATCTTTATCAGCATGGGGGTTCCGGGTACACCTGACTTGCAAACGAAACTGTAGTGTATCTATCTCTGTTCCTTCTTCATCATCTGCACAAGTAGAGAAACAGCTCTTAAAAGAATAAACGGGGGCTGGCTCAGGGTAGAAGTACTTGCTGCACAAGCCTGGAGACCCATGTTCAAGGAGCAGCAACTCTACAAAGCTGTTCTGACTACACATGCATATGCAGGTACAATTTTCCAAAGCAAGCACCTGAGTGCAGGCACCATGCTGAGAGCTTCTACAATGACACAGCTCAAGGCAGGTGTGAGTGTTCTCCCAGACAAAATCAAGATGAGCAACTGACAAGGTTATGCAGTAGAAAACCGAGGATCTGAGCCCAGGCATTCTAATTGCAGAGTACATTTCAGAACACAGTTCTTCCACTTAACTCAGAATTTTATTCTCTGCCTCTCACCTTGGTTCCGATATTCAAAAAGACGAGGATCAGCAAGAATGGGAATGAGCCCCAGGCGGTGAGCAAGAATCTCGTCCTGGACGATGGATGTGTTGCTGTACACTAGAACCTTTTCCACAGCCATCGTTGGCACCTGCCCAAGGAAACAATCATCTACCTGCAAAACTGACTCTCCACCTTTCTCCCAATGTGGGAAAAATAAGAGGGACAACTCATTTTGTCTTTCAAATTTTTGAGTTTCAGACTGGCCTCCCGAGTGTATTACAGGTATGAGCCACCACACCTGATGGGGACAGAAAGCTTTTGGAGACAATTCTGTAAGTGATGGTATTAGTTTCCCTTACTATACCTCAGCTAGCAAAATTCTTCGAAAAGCATTGGCAATGGCTGCATCAATTCCCACCATGTCGAACTCCAAAGAGTTTTCATCCATATGTACCACATCCACACGGAAATTCTAGAGGGACAGAAAAAAACGAAGCCTGCTTTGTATAATCCATGCCTCTACAATTGCTCATACCCTGACTACTGCCTTCATTGTATTTATACCATCTCTCATCTAAACACCTCCCTCTACCCAGTGACTCCTATTAGGTGTTTTGTAATCTGATCTTTGAGGGGTTTTTAAAAGATCTATTTAATGTATATGTGTGCCAGAGTGTATGTAAGTACTGCATGTGTATATAGGCCAGAAGAGAGTGTCAGATCCCTTGGGACTGCAGTTAGAGGTAGTTCAAGCCACTGATACGGATGCTGGGAGCCGAAAGGCCATTTCTCTAGCCCCCTTTCTTGAGTTTCTTAAGCCTCCCTCCTGTTTTATCTTGAAATGATGAACCCTAGACAATATGGTTTCCAGACAAACAACCAGCAAAAGGTAATCTACTTAAAGAACAGAAATTTCACTGGACATGCACTTTTAATCCCAGCCCACCCAAGGCAAAGGCAGGTGGATCTGAGTTTGAGTCCAGCCTGGTTTTAAAAAAAAAAACAAATTTCCATACTACTTAAGCCGATACTTGCAAATGTAAGTATCCCTCTTTCAAATTTGATCCCCTTCATCTTAATCTTGTTCTCTTTGATGATACCTTTTAAATTCTCTTTTTCACGCACCCCATATATGTTACTTTGCTCCAGGTGACCTGAACCAGACTCCTGATTTAAAAGCAACTAATTCCCACAACTCTGTCTCCCTTTTTTTGAGACAGGGTCTCCCAGCAGCCCCTAGATAGCCTGGACTCCCAGGCTGGCCTTGAATTCAGAGATTCTATCTCTGCCTTCAGAGTGCTGGGTTTAAAGGCATGCACTACCACGCCTGGCCTGTCTCACTTCAAACATCTACTGACTGGTACACATCTCATGTACCATGAATTGGGAGTGCACCATCATTCCGTTTTTCTATCAAATGACACAACCATCCATCAAAACAGTTCCCAAGCCAGAAGGTTCTTTTTCACATACCCAACCCTTACCAAAGCAATCACATTTATCAGTCACCTCATCCTGTTTGTGCTATTGCTGCTACCACAGACTTAACTCATGCCCACAATTTCAGGTCCCATATGCAGTACAACTGAGCTGATCCACTGGGGTGAGGTGACTGATATAAATGTAATTGCCTCCCCCCACCCAGCTATCAATTTTACGAAATCTGATCCGGCCAACTTAAGAACCCTGTTAAACTCTGCTCAACTTAAGACTTCTGTTCAAAAGCTGTCACCTGCAGAGCCTAAGATACACTCCAACCTCTGTACCGCTCAGGCCGCCAACATCGGGCGGTTAAAGAGCTACTAGGACATACTCAGACCGGACAAAAGCTTTTGTCATGAAACTCCAGTTAGTCCCTCCTCACCCTTCACTGTTCAACTTTTATTCAAGGCTCAACTACAACGTCACCTTCACTGACCACTAACTACGTCCCTTCACGGGCTGGATTAAGCGATGCCTCTACCCCATCCCTGCGGTCCTCATCACTATCCACTGCTTTCACATTCTACTGGAATCATTTGTTTACATGCTCTATTACCCCAAAGAGAATTTCTTATTCAGGGGGCAGGAACGAGGCTCCTAGCACATGGGTTTCATGAACGCAGTAACACCCCCAACCCCTAAGCAGCCTGAGGCAGACTGCTCCAGCCCCCACACGCACCTTCTCGAAGCGGTCCTGGTCCCAGGCATCATCATAACCCGAATAGTTACCGGGAAAGTCAGTGGTGTGGACCTAGAGCAAACAGGAAATCTGTCCACGAAGGGGCCAAGAGGCCAAGCCGGTCCCCAGTCCATCCTCACCTCCTCCCTGCCTCGCTCCAGTTCCTCCGAGCTCGAGCCACACAGCTTACGTTGCGAACCCCGAACTCCCCCAAAACCACGCGACTCCGCATTTCCTCCACCGCCTGGGCCGCAGCCATCTTCCAGGAGTCCGCGGGACGAAAGCCGCCGGCCTGCGCATGCGTACTAGAGCCTTCTTCCGCCTCCGCGACTACGCTCCGCCCCTGCCGTCTAATGTCGCGATATTTTGCCCTGCCTCCGTCCCCTGCTTCCGGAAGTCAATTTGGGCCAAACAACCGGATTTCTCTTTTTTGCGTTCTGCCTACTACTACTCGTTCTCAATTCCTTGGACGTTTCCTTCGCTCGGGCCCACGTCTCGCCCACTGTCCGCACGAGCACGAGGCCAGCGCGCGCTTTAGTGACGGGAGCCCTCGAGGGACATGGCGACCACGGCGGCGCCAGGTGGCGGCGCCCGAAACGGAGCTGGCCCGGAATGGGGAGGCTTCGAAGAAAACATCCAGGTAATGGCCCCAAAGCTCCGGCTGCCAAGCCGTCCAGGGCCAGAGATTCACCCTCGGGGCCTGGAAGGCCGCTCGGTTAGCAGCATCTTTTGTCTCCTTTGGGTCTTCCATGAGAAAGTCAGAATAGTGCCGACCCGCCTGGCCTAGGTCTCCGGGCCTGCCCGAGGCTTTAAGGTAAAGTGCTGTTGCTTTGCGGATGAGTTAGGAGGTAAGTCTGTGTCAGAGCGTGGCGCTGGGGGACAGGATTCATTATTGCTCGCCAGAACCATCCTGTGTGTAGTCTTGAGGATTGGGAAAGACAAACGGGCCCTTTTGCAGCTCTGAGGCTTTGAGAGGGAAAGTAGGAAAATAACACGAACTGCGGGTAAGTAATACGTTTCTTGGACCAGGAAAGTGTGGAGACTGAGAGGTCTGCGAGCAGTGAAGGGAAGGGACATGGTGTATGTGTAGTGATTCCAAACTATATCCTTAGCTGTCGAAGAGCCTCAAACCCCAAGATGAGCAGAGCACTAAAGGGTGCAGCAGAAAGCACCCTCACCCTAGAAGCCATTGTCTTCACAGGGTGGGGGCTCCGCTGTGATTGACATGGAGAACATGGATGATACATCAGGCTCCAGCTTCGAGGATATGGGTGAGCTACATCAGCGGCTGCGTGAGGAAGAAGTAGATGCTGATGCAGCTGCTGCAGATGAAGAGGATGGGGAGTTCCTAGGCATGAAGGGCTTTAAAGGACAGCTGAGCCGACAGGTGGCTGATCAGGTAAGCAAGACTGAATTTCTGGTAGATGGAAAAATGGACCTTCAAAAGTGCCGTGTTCAAGTTAGTTTGCATTGCATTTTCCAGTTAGAACCACACAGAAATTCAGCAAAAGTAGGCAACAGTCTAGATCAGGAGTTTGATTTGCTCATCTCCCTTCAGATGTGGCAGGCAGGGAAGAGACAAGCTTCCAGGGCTTTCAGCTTGTACGCCAACATTGACATCCTGAGACCTTACTTTGATGTGGAGCCTGCACAGGTTCGAAGCAGGTGAGGATCCTTAGAAAGCTCCCTCCTCACACTTAATCCCTCATCCACACTACAAGCAGAGGCCAAACCCTGAGCTCTGGTTGGCTACCCCTCATTGTAACCACATCACCCTATCACCACACCTATCACTGAATGCAATCTAAGGAAAGCACACTGCCTTTGTCCTCATCCATCTAGTGACTCCTTGCTTTCCTTCCAGTCCTAGCTCAAACAGCACTTGTTATTCTTCAACCCACCCCCAATTGGTTCTCCCTGGGGCTTCTATAGCACTTTATTATCCTCTGCCTAGTGTCACTTGAGAATGGAGTACATTCTTATTCTTGGAGCTGTCTCCCCAAAAACCAACAGCTCCTCAAAAGCAAGCTTTTGCCTTCTTTATCTTTCCTGGTACCAGAACAGTCTATAAACCAGAATTCCAAGGTATAGTTGTTAAATGACTTTTCAAGAATTTGGGTTAATCTTGGACTTGGTTCTTTGTTCATCCTTGAACCAGTGCTATAACCCAGGGCCACTGAGCAAGTATTAAAGCTATTGCTCTATCAGAGTTTGCTCCATTCAGAGCACTATCCTGATGGTGTCTGAACTCCTGTGCTATGATGGGACACATAGGAGAGATGAAGAGTCTGGGCAGGCTGCTGGGTACCACAGGGAAGGCATCCCAGAAGAAGTAATATCTAGGTTTAAATAATAATACAAGATAACCTAACTAAAAATAACAATAACCTAAAGTGGTGTTACATAGTAGTCAAAAGAGAGGGGAGAAAGGAATACATTTTTATTCCTTCTGTATGGAATCTTTATACCACTTAAAGTGTCTTTTTCAAAAAAATGTTCAGTTCCTAGGGGAATGTTAAGCAGGAAGAGGCAGGAAGCACACTGTTCCCCTCAGTAGTGACATCTTTCCCAGGGCTTCTGAATTCCAAGTCCCCTCTGGTGAGGTTTTTTTTTTTTTTCAGTAGGGGTGCAAGTCCACTGATCTCTCCAGTCTCTCCAAGTAGCTGCTGCTCCAATCAGCTGTTTCAGAGGGTTGGCCTTCCTCAGTGTCTGTCTGTACTCCCCCTTCCCCAGTCATCCAGCATGTCCTCTGGGCCAGCCCCATTCCCTGGCAGTAGAGACATGAGTAAGATCCAGACCCTGTCCTCCAGAGCTGCAGTTAGCACTGCCTCTGCTCTCATCTTTCCTCTCCTCCCAGGCTCCTGGAATCCATGATCCCTATCAAGATGGTCAACTTCCCCCAGGTGAATAGGGAACAGCATGTCTACAAAGCAGGGGGAGGCCCCGGGGTAGAGGGTGGGGCTGCCAGGCCTAGCCTGAGAAAGTGTAAAGAGAAGAGGCATTGTAGCCTCCAGCTTGATGGTTGCTGTGTTGACAGAAAATCGCAGGTGAGCTCTATGGACCCCTCATGCTGGTCTTCACGTTGGTTGCCATCCTTCTCCATGGGATGAAAACATCTGACACCATTATTGTAAGCAGTTCAGACGACTGGGGGTGGGGGCGGGGGGAGGTGCTTAAAAGCTGCCTAAGGACATCGTGGAGTAGCAGGAGCCACTGCAGAAGGCCCTGAGTGAGGCTGAGATCAGATGTATCTCAGCACTAAGTAGAACCTTCACCCCACAGCGGGAGGGTACCCTGATGGGCACAGCCATTGGCACCTGCTTCGGGTATTGGCTGGGTGTCTCCTCCTTCATCTACTTCCTCGCCTACCTGTGCAATGCCCAGATCACCATGCTCCAGATGCTGGCACTGCTGGTAAGGAGCCCAGCCTGGAGGTGGACAAGGGTCATCTTATAAAGAGTAGCAAGGCTTTACTTGCTTCTGTCCTGGGGTCTGTGGGACTGGACTGGGAGGAGCAGGCCAAAAGACCCATTGATTTCCCATGGCCCACTGGGACCAAGGGCCAGCCCAGCCTGAGTGATCTTCCTCTCCTTTCTCCCCAGGGCTATGGCCTCTTTGGACACTGCATTGTCCTGTTCATCACCTATAACATCCACCTCCATGCCCTCTTCTACCTCTTCTGGCTGCTGGTGGGTGGGCTCTCCACCCTGCGCATGGTAAGCTGAACAGGTTTTGCTGTCCAGCCTACAGAGAGCTCTAGAAGGATCCACTGACAGTTCTGCCATGGGCTAGGGGTATCTTCTCCATCCCTCACTTTGAAATTAGGCCCACTGAGCTGTATTCCTGTGATCCTAGGTGGCAGTATTGGTGTCAAGGACTGTGGGCCCCACCCAGAGGCTGCTCCTTTGTGGCACACTGGCTTCCCTGCATATGCTCTTCCTGCTTTATCTGCATTTTGCCTACCACAAGGTGGTAGAGGGTAAGTGGCAGGAGGGCCTGCACGATGGAGGAGGTGGATGAACTGATCTGGGGGTCTGCACATTTAGCTCCCACTCACCGTCCTTCCTCCTTTCAGGGATCCTGGACACCCTAGAGGGCCCCAACATCCCACCCATGCAGCGAGTTCCCAGGGATATCCCTGCTGCTCTCCCTGCTGCCGTGCTCCCTGCTGCCAGGCTTCCCACCACTGTGCTCAATGCCACAGCCAAGGCACTTTCAGTGACCCTGAAGTCACACTGACCTGGCCTGAAACCCTTGGCCAGCCCTGTCTCCCCCAGCTGTGGAGCAGAGGAAGATTAAAGGACAGTACTGATGACTTGTCTCTTCGATGAGGTCTGCAGCTGCCACTGAGTGATGCTGCCTAAGCACTTCCTTGACACCTGTCCTTGCTTCTTGAGGGTATATGGCCAGGAACTCCTGGCCAGGACTGCAAGGCTCTTTGGCCAAGTGCAGAAAGTGGATCAGCTCCGCTGAGGCCCCTCACCACCTACTCCTTTCTCTTTCTCCTGTTGTCTTGCTAAATATAGCCTTGATAATTAAAATATTGATTGCAGTGTGGAACTTCAGCTGCTGTTGCAGCCGTTGTCCCAGTCACCCTACTTTCTGTACAGGTTTTTGTTCTGTCAGCAGTGGTAAGGTCACATGTTCTCTGTACCCGCACTCAGCTAGGCAGGTTGAAGGTACAACGGGCAGACCCCATAGAAGGCATCAGCTGTTTATGGCCCCTGCCCCTGAGAGCTAGGGCAACTTGACTCACAGAGCAGGGGGCAGGCCTTAAGTACAAGAGCTGTAATCATGTGTATGTACACCAGGCTTAAGTCTGAGCTCAGCTGTGCTTTTAAGAAGCAGTGGAGCATTGACAGCCTAACAAAAACTAAATGCTATCCCCCACTTCATTACAAGAACCTCCTGTGCCTGGGCCACTGTGACTAATGTCCCTAAAGAGCTCACATTTGCAGTCAAACATGGCTCTGCCCTGCTTTCACTGAGGCTAGCTCCCTTGTTTTCTCTGTCTTCCAGGTGTTTCTAAAAACCACAACCACCCTACTTCGTAAATTTTGTTTTTTAAATTTATTATTTGGTGTTTTGAGACAGGGTCTCCCTGAAGCCCCAGCTGGCCATATAAATCAGGCTGACCTCCCATCTCACCTGCTGCTGCCTCTGGTGTGCATTACCCCATCCAGCACAACCCTACTTTTTGTTTTTCGAGGCAGGGTCTCCCTGTAGCCCCAGGAACTCACAGAGATACACCTCTGCCTCCTAAGCGCTAGGACTAAAGGCACCCTATTTTTTTTAAAGGAAAAAAATTGTCACCTATTCCCCTTCTTGGTTATAAGGACTGAACGGGTGCCTTTCTGCCCTATGTTGCACAAATAAAACCCACAACACCATCCTTAGAGAATAAAATTCTTAGCAACAGTGTGCTCCAGCCATTGTGCATACCCCTCGCTGAGCCGCACCCAGGGCTTGGGCCAGTCTGGCACCGCTTGATTTTGGCATCCCCACCCTCAGCGACATTAAGACATTTTTAAGGCTGAGCACGGGATCCCCTGCGTGTACACAAGGTTCACTTGCCCTGATTCAGGGCGCTGTGACGCAGCCGCCATATTGGCAGGGAAGTCCTTCTGGACTGGAATCCCCACGCATGCCGCGCCTCGCGTCACAGGGCCATGGGGGCGGAGCGAGGCGAGGATTGACGGGCCAAGGACTTCCAAGCAGAACTGAGTGGCTGGAATCTTGGCGTAGACGCCGAGTCTCAGGATTCAGACTTTAATGGAGAAACACGGGAGGAGTAAAAGCCGCAGCAACCCCAGCCGTCTTCTCGGGCGTGCCTCCATCTCCCCACCCTCGGACCGAGCCGCAGCCCTCTCCCTTTCCAAGTGGCCCCACACCCAGGTCAGTCCCGCACTCCAGCCTCCTGGTCCCGAGAGGAGCCAGCGCAGGCCTCGTGGGGGGGCGGGGCGAGCGCCAGTGACGCGGCCGTTGCCATAGGAACCCGCCGCCGGGCTTGGGCGCAGGAGCTGAAGCCCAAGCTGCCGCCCGCCTCCCGCGCCGGCCGTCCGCGCGAATCGTGCGGCCCGGTTCCGGGGTGGCGGGCGCAGCCCGGCCACAGGGAAGCGGGAGCTACCTCCGAGTGAGGGTCGGCCCGGTGCGTCCTGCGCCGCCGCCCCTAGGTCCCCGAGGCCAAAACCGCGAGCGAGAGGACCAGCGCGGGGCAGCTACAGCCCTGTTCCCGGACCGCGCGCCCGGGCCCGCCGCCCAGACACAGACCACACGGTCCACCCCCGTCCCCGCGCCGCCGCCCTTGCGGCCGCCTCTGCCCCGGCCTCCACCGCAGCCTCTGCCGCCGCCGCCACTCCGGCCGCGACCCCAACCTGGGCCGCAACCCCAGCCCCGCCCCCGCCCCCAGCCGCGGCGCAGCCAGCCTCTGCCCAGGCGAGGACCCAGGTGCGGGCCCCGGATGCCCAGCCGCGGCACGATGCTGCCCAGCTCCATCCAGATCTCGGGGGAACCGCTGTCAGGCGCCGAGGTGCGGGATATCTGCCGCGGCCTGCGCGACAACGCGGTGCGCCTGCTCTCTCTGCGCGGCTGTCGTCTCTGCGACCGCGACTTCGGCCGCATCTGCCGGGCTCTGGCAGGGGCCACGTCCCTGGCGCAGCTCAACCTTAACCTAGGCGTCGTGTCCAGCCCCAGCCGCATCAAGCAGCTGGCGGAAGCGCTTCGGACCAACCGCTCCATCCAGTCCCTCTTGTGAGTGCGTCCCCTCGTAAGGAGGTCCCGGGCACTGCACCCCTACACACGCACACACATACACACACACACACCCTCTGCCACCCCTACACACACATACACACACACACACACCCTGCCACGTTTTAAACCGACACATTACCTTCCAGTACCTGTCTTCCCACTGACCTGCCTTCCAGACCTTTAACATACATCTCATCCTTCTGCCATGCCTTCACCACACCCTCCAAGCACATCATTTCCTGACTTTACACATGCAGACCCACTAGAGATGGGATGCCCTCCCCTCGTGGCAGGGAATGTCATTCCTCCCCACCTTATCCCCAGTTACTTCATTGTGAAGCTCCTCACTTCCCAGGAAGGATCACCTCCCATGGAGACTAGAGCCCAGCCCTTCCAGTTCTGCCCACTGAAGGATCTCAGATGACTTTGAGCATCTATGCTGTCTCCCCAGTTCACCATCCATATACCCCTCCCAGTGCAGTGTTCTCAATCCCAATTCCTCTTCCATCCATTTGCCTTCAAATCTAGAATTTTCATTCTTCCTTCCCCGGGAAGCCAGTCTGAGGGGGAGGGGTGGCTTTTCTAAATAGATAAAGTTGATGCCAAAACTGGTTTTCCAACCTTCAGCCTACATGGAAGCCCGCTGACAGATGCGGGGCTGGCCTTGCTAAACCCAGCCCTGGCTCTCCACCCTGCCCTTGTGGCACTTGACCTGGGCGACTGCATGCTGGGTGATGAAGCCATCAACCTCATCTGTGGCCTCCTCCCTCCAGACGGTGCCAAGTCTGGTGAGCAGATCTCTGCTGAGGGAGGGCATGGGCTAGTGTGACTCTGAAGAAAGCTAAATGCAGAGTGAAGGGGATGTGGCCCAGAGCTAAGTGCTGGGAAGGTGGGGGGAGGGCTTTTTGCCTTTCCTCCGAAGGGAGAACTTGGGGAACTGAGCAGGGTGGAGACTCAGATCCAAGCAGGAGAGGCTCTGGGCCACTGTGGCTCCCAGCCACTAGGGGTACCCCAAAACACAGGATGGGAAAAGGGGCTGGAGGAGGACCTGACTCTACCCATCCTGGTTTCTTGCCATGCTGTTGCGTAGGCTTGAAAGAACTAACACTGAGCGCCAACCCTGGCATCACCCCTAAAGGCTGGAGCCGCCTTGCCATTGCTGTGGCCCACAGCTCCCAAGTTCGCGTCCTCAATCTGGACTACAACCCCCTGGGTAAGCTCAAGACCATTCCTTTCAGTTTTCACTGCCTCCTGTCCTATTCAAAAACCTTGGACCACCAGTTGCCATAGTAACCCCCACCTAAGGGAGGGAAGATGAGTGGTCAAGTAGAGGAGCCATCTTTTGTGGCGCACCTAATGACCAACAGGTGGATTAAAGCATCAATCAGAGCCCCTGGGTCTGACTGCTTCATCTCCTCACTCACCAATCACAATGCTCCTCTCCCACCAACCGTCAGGGGCTCCTGGCCAGGGGGCAGGGTCCTGACCAAAAGCAAAGATTAACAGGTCTCTGTGTGAGCCCAGGTGACTGAGTATGCATGTTGTCTCCCCAGGTGACCATGTGGCAGGGATGCTGGCTGTAGCTGTAGCCTCAAGCCGCACCTTAGAGGTCCTAGACTTGGAGGGCACAGGGCTCACAAACCAGTCAGCTCAGGTGAGAAGTCTCGGTCATGTTTTGGAGACAAGCTAGGGGATGTGGTGGAGACTAGTCTATACCCAAGGGGTCACCTGTTGGAGCTGAGGATTGCCTGAACTATGTTCATCCTTTTCTCCTCTCCTTCCCACAGACCCTGCTGGACATGGTAGAAAATTATCCAACAGCTTTGCGGAGCCTGGTGCTGGCTGAGAACAGCATTAGCCCAGAGTTGCAGCAGCAGATCTGTGACCTCCTCTCTGAGGGGGAGGAGGAGGAGGAAGTGGCAGGAGGGACTGGTGACACCCAGGAATGGGAGAGAGGACGGGAGCCTGCTGCCCACCAGAGGGGCAGCAGCTCCTGGATGTGCCCCAGTGGTAAGAACCCAAAGGGTTGATAAGAGCTAGGTCTGGAAGATTCTGGGCAAGGGTTCGGGGTTGGGGAACCAGGCCATGTCTCTCACTTATTTGTGATCCCCACTAAGGAACAAATGGTAGCCTGAATACCCTTCTGCCCTTCCACAGATCCCAGCTCACAGATGGTGCTAATGACATCAGGACTAGGGGATAGTCTGTTGGCTGAGACCGAGATGTGACTCTCCACTTGGCTGTGCATCGTTTTTATTTGTCTGTGTCCCCACTACCTTCCCCCTGATGTCAGGGAAAGGCCCTGGGGCTATGGTGGGGTGGTGGTATACTGGGGCTCTGGCAGCTCCTGGCAGTGTGGTGGGAGGCTCTGGAAGCTGTGACTAGCTAAAAGCCTTGGGGTTTGGGCACTTGGACCTAGGGTATTAACTTTGAATTTGTTGGCAGCTCTAGCTGCAACCCGCTGGCTCGGAAGAGATTTTATAAACTCCACAACCTGGCTTGTGGCTGTGGTCACTGGGGGATGGCCAAGGGGAGGAACTGGCACTACCACTAATCAACACTAGGGGGCAATATCACCATACAGGCCAAACTGGGCACACTTCTCTCAGCTGGCTCCAAAAGGCCAGCCTAGGTCTAGGACCTGGGGGTTCTGGGGTTACAGATAGCTCACATGCCCCATAAAAATTAGTGAGGAGCTCGGCTAGACTGGACCCTGCTTCTGTGGAGAGACTTGGACCCTATTGTTACCTGAGCACCTCCTCCCCATGCCCTGGGCCAAGAAAAGCCAGGGGGTAAAAGGGAGGCCCTGGCAAAACTAGGAAAAATGTAGGACTGGGAGGGAGTACGTAAGACTAGGGACAAGAAGGGGCTGAAGAGATGGCTCTGCAGTTAAGAGCACATACTGACTGCTCTTCCAGTTTGGTTCCCAGGACCCACATCAGGCAGCTCACAACTACCTATAACCCCAGCTCTAAGGAGACTCAAACACATCTGGCTTCACAGGCACCCATATGCATATACACATACCCAAAGACATAGACATAAATAAAAATAAAACAATGTTGAGTGTGGTGGTGCACACCTTTAATCCCAGCACTTGGGAGGCAGAGGCAGGCAGATCTCTTGAGTTCCATGCCAGCCTGGTCTATATAGGAAGTTCCAGGCCCCAGCCTGAGCTACACAGTAAGATTCTGTCTCAAAAGAAAGAAAATTGTTTTAGCTAGGCATACCACTAGGCATGGTAGTACATGCCTTTAAGCCCAATACTCAGGAGACAGAGGTGGGAGGATATGAGTTCCAGGTCAGCCTTGGTCTACATAGCGAGTTCCAGGTCAGCCAGGGCTGCATAGTGAAACCATATAAAAATAAAATTTAAAGAATGAGATTAGGGCCGGGTGTGGTGATACACACCTTTAATCCTAGCACTCGCGAGGCAGAGGAAGGTGGATCTCTAAGTTGGAGGCCAGCCTGGTCTACATAGTGAGCTCCAGGACAGCTGGGCTACAGGGAGACCCTGTCTCAAAAGACTAAAAAAAAAAAAAAAAAATGAGATTAGCATGAAAGGGGAAGGTCATTAAAACAAACTAAGCCATACCAGCAAAATAAGTTTTATTTAATTTTAAAATAGTCATTAATGTGAAAATTCCCAAAAGCTGGGAGTAACAGTCTAGAGCCAAGGAAGGTTAAGAGGGGGCCAGGCCTCACCGAGAGCCCAGTTTGAGTCCCCTGATGTAAACCCTCCTTCAACAGCTAAGGGGAACCCTGAGTCAGTTTACCCCCTTGTGCCTGGAGCCAGGTGGGTTGGACCTGAGGGCAGCTGTTCATGCAGAGAAAAGCAGGCAGAAAAATCAGAGTTTAAAAGCTCCAATGATACCCTTCCCCAAACCACCAAGTCTCACGGATATGAAAGGATGAGGATGAACACTGATAAGCCCCTCACTTCCCCATGACAGCACCTGGGCTGGGCTAACTGGAGAAAAGGGCTTAGGACTCAACCGCCTATTACCTTTTGAGACTATTCCAAGAAGGAAAGGAAAAATCATGAGGCAAGCTGGTGCCAGTCAGTATCAATGCAGCTGAAAGGCCTGGCGTGGCCCCTCGTTCACACAGGGAACAGCTGCCCAGGTGTGAGGGAAGAGTTCAAGACAGGTCCCAAGTGGCAGCGGCAGGAAGGCAAGTGGGCCTAGCTAAGCAGGGTACCCTGCTCCTGGGCCTGGGTTAGGCTGTCCTTGCGATGCAGGTGGTGTACTCCCATCCTCTTGGGGCTGCGCTGGGGGCGGCTGGAATTGGAGAGTGGCCAGGCCCTGCCCTCAGTGTGAGAAGTGCTAGGTCCCTCTGTGCCCCCATCACTAGGCAGCAGGCTCTGGCGCTCTTCCTGGGGACTAACAGGCAAGTTCAGCAGTTCCTCTTCTTCCTCCCTGGGAAGGCCAGAGTCGGGTTCTGTTGGCAGTAAAAGTCCACTCTCCTCGTGTGGGGAAGAAGGTGGGGCATGCGTGGGGTTCAGGATGAAATGACGCTGCAACTCAGGGAGTGCATCACGTCCAAAGGCTGTGCGCTGGACCACAGCAGCAGGAGGTGGAGTGCGGTCCACAAATGCACGTTGCCAGCTGGCCAGCAGGTCCTCCTCAGAGCTGGCAGAGCTGGCTGGGGCACTGAGTGCTGATGGGGCTGGACTTGGCTGGTGGTGTGGTGAGCCTTGGGCTGAGGAGGGATTGCTAAGCACCAGGCTGGAGTGGGCCCGCTCACTCCCCTCCTCCACCAGGCTCAAGGAGATGGCCTGGCGAGTGGCGTAAGTACAGTTGGGTAGGGGGCTGTTTCGAGGGATTCGAATCTTATCTTCAGAGAACTCTATTACCTTGCGACCTGGATACAATGGGTGTGGTGGAGACGGGGTAGGGTAGGGACTCAGCTTCTCAAAGGCTGGCAGGGGCAGCTCCTCCTCTGGGGAGCCCCGTGCAGTACCCAGAGAAAGGCATTCCCCATTGGGCTGTGGAGAGGGACTGCCAGGGGCTGAGGGGCTGGCTGGGTCACCTGGAGCACCCCCACTCATGTCCACATGCACAAAGACATCCTCAGCCAAGGGGCGGCCAGCACTGCCTGACTGCACTGAATTGAGCAGGAGAGACTCTGGCTTCTCCAATACCCTGGCAATGACTGATGTGGGTACCACAGACCCTGGAGCAGGGCTAGAGGCAGGGCCCAGGCTGGCAGCCTCCTGACCACTGTGGAGATGTTTCCGAACCATGTCTTGTAGCTCACAAGGCAGCTAGGATAAAAGAGAAGGGAAAGATAAATGGTCCCAGATGAAGACAGCTTGACAGCAGAAACACTGGCCATCATGCCTAAGTAACGCTGTCTGCTCAGCACTTAAGCTGCTCCTGCATAACCTTACTTCACAGATAAACAGACTTGGTAGGGCTAAAAAAAACTTTTTAACTTTAAAAAGTTTTTAACGGGCCGGGCGTGGTGGTGCACACCTTTAATCCCCACACTTGGGAGGTAGAGGCAGGCGGATCTCTGTGAGTTCAAGGCCAGCCTGGTCTACACAGTGAGTTCCAGGACAGCTGGGGCTACAGGGAGACCCTGTCTCAAAAAAACAAACAAACAAAAAAAAGTTTTGAACACAGTAGGATCCGAACCTAGATCTGCTAAGGCCTATATACACGGAAACATCTATCTTCCCTATCTCCTCTGAGGTGGTTTCTGCCAAAACCATTTAAGTTTGGAGAACCTGTTCTAACCAGAAGCCTTACAAATACCCCTATTTCTGCAAGCCACAGCCAACACTGGGCTTGAGGCTCAGGGTCAGAGGGTTTGACCCTTCAAGGGATGGGCTCAGATGGGCTCTCTCATGGCTAATAGCTTTGGCCACCCCTCCTCCCTGCAAAGGCTCCTTAGACCGAGTCTCTATGTCAGTTACAGAAGTACTAATAGAGCCAACTCCAATAGTAGTGATGGCCCTTGGCAGTACCCAGGCCCTCAGCAGGGCTGACCAGCTTGAGGGACAACACAGGGCCAAAAGGAAGGCAAAGTGGAAAAAGGGGGAGTTAGAGGCAGGAAGATGAAGAGAGGAGAGAAACTCCAGTTGGAGGCATCCTGAAGAGGAATGGTGGAATAGTGCTGGGCAGGTGGAAGTATGTTCTACTCACATCAGCAAACTTGTGGTTCCGGAAGTGGGACTTATTGCACTTGAGGAGCTGCACGGCCAGGTTGCAGTCCAGCCGGTACCGCTCCTAGAGACACAGACCTGCTCAGAGCCCAGCCCAGCCCTGCCTAAGGGAATGGGCCAGGCCCTGAGCAGGGGAAGTGCACATACATTGAGTTCCTCCAGCTTGTTGATGGTATTCTTGGCATCCAGTAGCTTGTTGGTCAGCTCCACAATCTCCCAGTCCAGTGTCTTCCGGTCCATCTCAGCCTTCTTGATCTGAGGCACAGACTTGTGGTAAAACTAGCCCAGACCTCAGCAGGCCCTTCCTCCCTACACCAGCCCAGAGACACAAGGCCACAAGAGCTAGGGCAGCCAAGGCAGACAGAGCAGACAAATGACGGACAGACAGAAAGAGACTGGGCATCTCTCCTGCTCTCCAGGCTGCCTATGGGTGGGGGCTTCTGAGCAGGATCTACCTTCATGGGGGCTCAGAAGAGTGGAAGTCTAAGAACTGCCTATCCTTTGAAGGAGCTTGGAGGGGGCTCTAGACACCAGGGCAGGGAATGGACACCTCAAAGGCAGTAACTGCAGCCAGGGGCTGAAGCCTGTATGAGCAGATGTTTCCAGAATCAGGCTGGGAGTGGAGCACCTCAGATTAGCTGGCTGGACAAGGGAGGGAGCTGCAGGCTCAAAAGTAGCCTTCTGACCTTCAGCTTCCAGCCTGAACCTACAGCCTGGGCTCGCTGCCACTATAGCAGAGAAACTGTGAATGCTCTGTGGAGACATCAATCAGTGCCTCTGGTAGAGCCACGAGCAGCAGTCCCAGCCCTCCCAGGAGAAAGGCATCCACTACTCAAGGCGCCTCACAGTGACAAGAGCAGAGTGGGTGTGTTCAAGGGATAGAGGGAAGCAGCCAGGGCCCCACAATCCGGGATCTGGGCTGAGGAGGCCAGGGCCAGGGAGAAAGACAAACTCAGACGCAACTGCAAAAATCCAGCTGTGGCTAAGAGAGGCCTGAGAGGAGAGTGCGGCAGCAACGGTGGCAGCATGAGAGGGAGACGAGAGAAGAGAAACAGTGTGAGCATTAAGACAGTCCTGACTGGCAGAGCACACTGCCCCCACCCTCCCCAAGCCCCAGGGTGAATGGCAAACCCCTGGCAAGTCCTTGCCCGCCGCTACGCTGTGAGCACAGTACCAGCGTATGCAGCTTGTCCTCCAGCTCCTGGTTGGTCCGCTGGGAAGCTGTGTAGCTGTTCTGGAGCCTGCAGAAGGACACAAGGCAAAGCCCTGGTCAAGATCTTGTTCCTCAGGCCATGCCAGCCCTCCTCCACAAGAGTCTGGGCAAGTCCCTGTCCTCCCAATGCTGGTTTCTAATCAGACTCAGGTGGGATCGCTTCCAGCTAACTGCCTATGAAGGGGGAGATGCTCATGTGTGTGTCTGCCCCTTGTTCCCACACCTGCGGAATTTGTCCTTAAATTTGTCCAGCTCCTCGCGACTCTGGCCCAGTTCCAGTTCCAGGCAGTCTTGTCCAATTTCCAGCTCCCGCTCCAGGGCCTCAGTGCGTCTGGTAGCTGAGGCCAGGCGTCGGCGAAGCTCTTCATTCTCCTGCTGCAAAAGTCTGGGAGGTGGGAGGTGGGGCAAGAGGGTCATCAGAGACAGAGGGCCAAGCCTGGAGCGCCAAGCAGGGCTGGGGAAAGACGGGTTATGAGGACAGGCAAGTGGAGTCAGTGCGATGCTTGGAGCCTCAGTCTGAACTTAGGGAGGCTCAATCCACAGGCCTTCTTGCCCTTAAGAATGACCTGGGTTGGGGGATGGGGGAGGCAGAGTGGACGACAGAGGGCATTCTGCCCCACCCATACACTAACGAAGAGGAATAACAGGACAGATTCAAAGGGGGCACAGTTCCCAACCTGTCTCTGGTTACCACTCAAGCCAGCAGGGCACCAAGCACTACAGCTACAGTTTCCCCATTTCACAACCAGGCTTCTCCATTATTAATCCCTTGGGAATCCAGCCCAGCACTGTTCCTCCCAAGACCTCTCATGCCTGACAGAAATGGCTCCAAGAAGCAGCTGGTACAGAAGGGTCGCTCTGCTCTCTGGAGCCAGGAGCAAAAGAAGGGGTCCTTGCAAGGGCTCTCAGCCCATGGATCAATGAAAACCCTTTCTCAGAAAGAACCAAGTCACCTCCCAGAGACCCTAAAACACCCCAGCCCAACTTTTACCTCTACCAGTCATGTCCAATCCACATGTGGCTGAGGATAGCTATGAATGTGGCCCCACATAAAATTGTAAATTTAGCAGAATATGGGAGTGCAGATCTTTTAATCCTAGCACTTGGCACTGAGGAGGCAGAGGCAGGCAGATCTCTGTGAGTTCAAGGCTAGTCTGGTCTACATAGCAAGTTCCAGGCCAGCCAGCCAAGGCTACATAGTGAGACTCTCAAAAAATAAAAAAAAAAAAAACAAAAAGAATTATAAATTTACTTAAAATACAAGATTTTTCTGCAGTTTGGTTTGTTTTATAATTTGATTGTATGGTTCTTGAACATGAACTCTGTAGAAGACAACACTGTGTCTCAATATCAAAAGTTGAACAGGCTGGATCTAAAGAAAAGCCCCAAAGTACCAAAGCTGAGCACAGTGCTCAGAGGGACAGAGTCGAGACAATGCAGCGTAGCAGGGAGTGTCCCAGGCGGCCGATACTCACTTCATCCTCTCTGAGTCAGTCAGGGGCTCCTGGGCAAAAAAGAACAGAAACTTGACACTCAGCTCCAGACCACTAGCCTCTTGATTGGCTCACCCTCCAAACAGCCCTAGAAAGGGCCATGCCTGAAGCCCAAAGAAGAGAAGGATGACAGGGTTCTCCAGAGATAGCTAAAATCTAATAATGCCTGGACAGGCTCAGATTACTCTCTCCTAGGCCAACTAGAAAATTCTAGAACCTCTTCCAACCTTCATCTTTAGTCCTAAAGCCATTTTCAAAGGGGTCCTAGTGCCTGTGCCACCGTTCCCCAGGATAGAGAGCACCTCTCAGCTGTCTGTCTACTGGGCTCCTCCCAGGTCCTCTCTTCACACAGATACAACAAAAGACTCTCTAGGGAAGGAAAGAGGTAAAGTTGAGCTACAAAGTTAAGTTTTGACTAAGCCCTGTCAGCCCCCCGCAGGGGAAGATGGGCAGAATAAGGACCTTGCAGGCCTAGGTGGAACAAGTGAATGGCTGAAGAGTCTCTGGGGAACAAGGTGCACTTTTTGGTTTGTTTCTAGACAGGTTCTCAGCCCAAACTCACTATACAGCCAAAGATGACCTTGAACTCCTGATCCTCGATCCTCGTGCCTCCAACCTTCTAAGGGCTGGGACTATAGGCATATATCATCACGCCCAGTTTTTTGTCTTGCTTTGAACCTCCTGCTCCAACTTCCCTAAATCCCTAGAGTGGTCATCATCCAAGAACCAGAGCCCAGCCAACCACAAACCAGAGCAGGCCTGAGCTACGCAGAAGGGCATGAAGCTGGTGGCTTCAGAACTGCAGACATGTGGAAGCCAATGAGGCAAGCTAGACCATGGACTCTAGAGCCTGACAACTGGACCTGACGCCATTCTGCCATAGGCTGGCAACAGCCTTTGTCTCATTTAGCCCCACTCCCCATGTTTATAAGGCCAGGGGACCAAGAAAAATTCATTAACAACTTAAATTCTTATTGAACATTCTCTGGACTGAAATGATCAAATTGTGGCATTTCTGCCCTGGGTGTGTCCACAGGAGCCACAGTATACCTGGTGCTCAGCATCTATGTGAATTAGCTCTCAAGGTTTATAAACGTGCTCTGTGCACTGCATCAGGGGAGAAGACAGAACAAGGGAAGAGAGCCAATCTGGAGCATTTCACAGTTGACTATAGGCCTCCTAAGAGCAGGCCTAACATGGTTCCTGGCAGGAAATATGTAGTTAACACATGTTAGCTAAACAAAGCAGAGCTGGAGGAAGCGCCGGACTTCCTGGGGACAATAAAGAACAGCTGCTGTGGTGGGAAGCAGCTGGAGCACCATCTCCTTAAGCCCCCAAAGGGGCTACAGTTGAATGATTCAACTCCACTACAAAGAACTGGAGGCCAGCTTCCCACAGCTTAGGCCTGAAGACACTCTGGAGAGCTGTGTGTTGCAGGGAGACTTCCACCATATAGGTTTGACTCTGCTGAGCTGCAAAGACTAGGTTCCCAGACATGTGAACACATACAGAAAGTCCCCCACCAGTCCTGCTACAGCCAGGAGATCCTAGGCCTGTGTCAGCAATGCCATACTCTCTCCCTAACACAGGACCAGCAGCTCAGGCCTGAGAGGGCAGATTAATAGCCAGCCTCAGGGGCCTACTTTTGCCAGCCGGAGCTCGGCTATCAGTGTTGCTGACCTCTTGCTCCAGCCGGGATGCAGGAATGTCCAGCCGCAGTTCCCGATGCTCTGGAGGCGCCTTACGGTAAGGTTTCTTAGCTGGGGCTACGCTGGTCATTCTGGGAGGTGTGAGCTCCTCCACCTGCTAAGAGAAACCAGGAAGACAGCGGTTCAACAATGTGGTATAGAGGCTTTAGGGGCCAGTGAGATGATTCTGTGAATAAAGCTGCCTGCTGCCCTAACAAGCTAAATTTCATCCTTGGAGCCCACATAGTGGAAGGAGAGAACTGACTCCCACAAGTTGTTCTGTGACCTCAACAAGCGGCACTGTGGCACATATGCACCTGCACCCACACTCTCCTCGCTCCCCCAAACAAAATAAATCAATGAAAAAAAGAGGACTTTGGACTGAAAATTTTAAAAAGGATAATCAAGGCCAGGCGTGGTGGCACAAGCCTTTAATCCCAGCACTTGGGAGGCAGAGGCAGGCAGATCTCTGTGAGTTCAAGGCCAGCCTGGTCTACATAGTGAGTTCCAGGACAGCTGGGGCTACAGGGAGACCCTGTCTCAAAAAGACAAAAAAAAAAAAAAAAGGATGATCAAAGGGGACATATGTAGAAGACACCAATTAGGCAGATAGGCCTGAGACATTGCTGCATCATTAGACTTCAGTGTCAGTCCCCACAGGTCAGGGGAGTGCTGGAGAAGAAGGCATGAATCTAGTGGAGAACACGCAGGTGGGAAAGGCAGGATCCAGGACCTGGGCCCCTGGAATAGACCCTGCTCTAAGAGTGTGGTGGGGAGCCTCAGGGGCAGCCCATTACTGTCTCTTGTAAGCACAGAGGGCTGTAAAAGCATGTAAGCACCTGTTTCCTAAACTCTAAACTGAGGATCACAACAGTACCAATTTCAAAGGGCTATTGTGTAGATTCCATTGGGCACTAAAAACAGTGCCAGTGATACATGCCTGTAATTCTAAGCACTCAAGAGGGCAGAGGAAAGAGGGTCATGCATTTGAGACCAGCCTTACATAGTGAGACCCTGTCTAAAAACACCAAAAAAAAACCCACAAAAAACTGCCCAGCACTTAGGAAATGTTCAATAAAGTTCGCTTTCTACAAATTATAACCAAATCTCAAGGGTTTGAGGATGCTGACCCAACCCAAGCTCCTGGGCCAGGGTCTCCAAGCATGAGAGCATTCTCAGCCACTGCTACTGAAGGCCAAGGCCCTGTGTCTGCACCATTCTTCCTGTACCAGCCCCCACCAAAAGAGGACACCTGTCTGACCCCCGAACTGCCAGCCTCCTAGGGGAGTCAAGTAGGGGATTCAGGCTTCATCAGGACATACCATCTGCTCGTCGGCAACTCTCTGTTCTGCTATCCTGGACTTAGCCCCCGCCTCTCCGCATCCCACGGCCCCTCCACTTCCTCTAGGCAAAAGTTCCTGAAACCAGAGAAGGGAAGAAAGTAGAAACCAGGTGTCATCCACCTGTCTGTCAGTACTGCGCGCCTGCCTGCCTATCCCATCAGGACCTAGAAGGCCGCAGGGAATGCCAAGCAGGAACAGGACAGGAGGTCTTAGGGGAAAGCAGTGGAGGTAGAAGCAGGAAGATCATGAGTCTGATGCTGGCCCTTTACATAGTGAAGCTGTTTCAAAAAAAAAAAGAAGAAAAAAGAAAAGAAAGGGAAAACATCTGAGGTAACATGTTCCTGCCTTTCACCAGACAAGTAGTGTGCTGGTACACAAATTAATTTTCTCAATTTACCACATGCCCCACTCTGGAATGGTCTGTACAGTCCTTATTCCTACCTTCTGTCTATCCTAGTCATCTAGGCCTCTCAGAGCCTGGAAACAGCTAGGAAATTTGGGGAGCATGGATTGCAAATGACACCACCAGGAAAGAGCCCAGCAGAGGTGCAAGATGATGCTGCTGGCAAGTGCCACTAGCTTTGGTTCCACAAGGAACCCAAAGACCACTTCTGTGTACAATGGTGGTCAACAGCCTTGGCAACAAGGAAAAGTAGGTCCAGAAAGAAAACACAGCAATTCGAGCAACAGTTCTCAATTCGGACAGTTTTCCCCCCTGCTTTGCTTCCCCCAAGGGCATTTTCAGTTGCCAAAACCTGCAGAGGGAGATGTACCACTAGTGGGTAGAGGCCAGGCTGCTGCTAATCATCCTACAATGCCACCATACAGAAGAGCCACCATAAAAAGGAGCTGTTAGGGCAAAAGGTCAATAATGCTGAGGTTGGAAACTGCTAATATAGGGGCTGGAGAGATGGCTCAGTGGTTAAGAGCACTGACTGCTCTTGCAGAGGACCCGGGTTCGATTCCCAGCACCTACATGGCAGCTACGAACTGTCCTTAACTCCAGTTCCAGGGGAATCCAAACCCCTCTTCTGACCTCCGCGGCACTGCACAACATGGGTGCACTCACATACATGCAGGCAATATACTCATATACATAAAATAAAAATAAAATATTTAAAAAAAAAACCTGCTAGTATAGAAAACACAACTGTGGGGCTGGCAAGATGGCTTAATAGGTGAAGGTGCCACCAAGCCTGACAATCTGAGTTTGATCTGTGGGCCCAACATAGTAGGAGACAACTCTTGAAGGTTGTCCAGGACTGACCCTCACACATGCACTGTGGCATGCACATGCGTGTACGTGTACACCCACCCACACACACACACACACACACACACACACACACACACACTAAATAAATGTAATAAGAAAAACATTTTAAGATGCTGGAGATATGGCTCAGTGGTTAAGAGTGCATACTGCTCTTGCAAAGGACTCAAGTTTGGTTCCCAGCCCCAACATTGGGCTGTTCACAACTGTGTGGAACTCCAGCTCCATGGGATCTTCTGACCTCTGAGGGCACTTGCATTCACATACAAATACCCACACATAGACGTACATGTACACATAATTTTAAATAAAATTAATTTAAAAAAAAAATTAGAAAAACGCAAGCATTGGGAGCTGAGACCCCTGAGTTCCAGGCCCAGGGCTGCTCTGGCACACTGAGGCACCCAGAGTAACATGCTTCCTCATTGCAAAAGCCTGCTATGCATCTACACACATGTAGTTGGGTCAGATGACCTGCAAGATCCCTTTGGGTTCTTGGGTTCTGAGATGCACCCATATCCTTCCTGGCCCCCATCTGTAATAAGCTGGGCCACAGCATGGGGGCAGCAGCCGCCAAGGTGATCAATGGAAGCAGTAACCCTAGGTGGCCTTCTAAGCATAGAAAACAATCTCTTCCCACCCCCATCAACCTAAACAGAACTGGGGGCTAAGGGAGGCCTTGCGGGCTAAAGCATGTGTTCCCACTGTCGGGACATGCCCTGGCCATGACTCCTGTCACATTCCAGCAGCGCCTAGGGCAGAAATGGGGTGGGGGCAGGGAGGGTGGGGAGGCAGGAGTAGTCTCCCTCCTCTGTCTGGTCTCTGGCCTAGGGTTTTGAGGGGAGCTGGGTGTAGTAGCAGAGGCGAGAACTGCCAGCCTCCACTCCCACCCCTCTGACAGGAGGCAGAACGTGTCCCCACAGGGCACAAGCAGCAAGCTGTCAGGCTGACTCCCTGCACAGGAATCTGGGCGGGCCTGAAAGGACAGTACATTCCTGGGGAAAGGGGAACAAACAAGACACAACTACAGGTATCCTAAGGCTGCGTCTCCAGAAAGCCCTGGAGAGCTCCTGTGGCCTGAGGGAGGGGCCCAGAAAAGTCCAAAACCAGTCTAGGTACCCACACCCTGACACTCAGAGGTGTGTATGTGGTTGCATGACTGGAAAAGAGTAGAACCAGAGCCATGGGACTAAGGGGAGAGAGACATCAGTGGAGCTTGTAGGAAATGATGGGGAGGCTCCCTGGAGCTGGCCTCTGCCTTCTCCCCTCTCTACACAGATGCTGGCTCTCTGCTACCTTCCTGTCTTCTCCCCAGTCAGCTGAGAAACCTTACAGACCCCTTTGTGTGCCTCTTCCATCCTCGGCCTCTTCTTTACTTCCCTACCTCAATTCCTGCCAAGGCCTATACTCTCTTCTAGGCACCAGGGCACTTTTGAGAACGTGCACAGGCAGGGAGGGCAGCGACACACTCAGGTATCTATCTGGTTATTCTGTTTGTAGGCAGAGCTGCCCAAGGCTCCACATCCTATAGCTCATCCTGCTCACCCTGACCCGAAGTCCTTGCTGCATGTATTTAATCCCAGGCTTCTCTGAAGGCTAGAGGCAATCTCCTTGCTGGGCTGAAGGACAAATATGGATAAGGCCAGCAGAGACACAGGTAGTAAATGCAGACAGAGACTCTTAAGGGTGGAGGTGGGAATGGAAGATTACTCTCTGTCAGACCCACTGACCTGTCAGAGTCACAGGGAGGGAAACATTCCTGACTAGGGAAGTGGGGACAACCCACCAGGAAACCTTCAGGGTTCCCCAATCCTGGTCCCCAAGGCATATCTGTGCCATTCCCTGCCCCATGTCCATAAATACCTGAGCATGTTGGGACAACTGGGTCTTTGCTCCAACTCCCAAAATCTGCTAACTGCCCCAGATCTAGCCTGTGAGGGGCCTACAATTCCAGCAATAAACAGGAACACAGTGAACCTAATGGCTCACAGTCCTGGACTGAAGAAAAGACCAGGCAAGAGTGAGAGGAGGAGAACATGGGGGCCCCCAAGCTAGAGAAGATAAAAGGGTGAGTTAGAAGGCATCAGAGCAGTCTCACCAGGAGCTCTCAGCTACCAGGTATGGTTTCCACTGGCCACAGCTCGTTTACCCAAAGGTTTCCCAGATGCCTTGTGTTTTAGTACAAGAAAGACTTCCAACACTGTGCTGAGACAGGATGATCCCCTGGACTATGGTGAGCAAGCTGCAGCTAAGGGCAGCCTGTAAGGTCTCCAGCTGCCAAGCAGACTCCAGGACACCACCAAGAGTCTTTTGGAGGAAGATTTGGCAATAAGCAGGGAAGAAACCTACTCCTACTCCAAACTACCTGAGCCGTAGAGGAACTAGGTCAGATGACCAGGATGGGGGCTACTAGCTGCTGTGCTGAGTCTGTACTATAAGAGGAGGGGGAATCCTTGGCATGGCCTATGTCTCCTTGGGCTGAACCTGTCAGCCCTGTTGTGGGAAACACCCAAATCCCCTGAGGGTAGAGAGAGAAGGGGCTCTCCTCACCCTCGCCACCCCTACCCTACCCCAGCTAACCCCGCCTCCTTCCTTTGCTACACAGCATTCATTCTTCATTTACTCAGAATCAGCTCAGAGAGAAAACCTCAGATCTGTTGGGGAGGAGGGTGATAGCTTCCTATTTGCCATGTTGCAATCTGCCAGTTGATGCAGGCCGCCTGTTGCCACCTGCCCTGTATTAAATACCTTCTCCCTGATTACAGCCCATGGGGCACGATTAGCTGCCTTCAGAGAACAAAGTCTACTTTCATTAGAAATGGGGCTGAGCACGCAGAGAAATGCACTGTGAACCCACTGAACAGCTGAGCAGAGTGCAGACAGATAGATGCAAGGTGCAACCTGCACCAGAGGCGGCTGAGAAGTGTCAGTTACTCAAAGGACAAGAAAGTGGTCAAGTTCCACTCTAGCCAGGAGATGGGATTCACACTTGTCCCCTTTTATGGGTGAGTGTGGCCAGGGGCATCCCACAGAAGCCAGAAATCAATGTTGCTGGAGACTGATGAGATAAGAAAAGCCTCTTCAAGGGCTGGAGAGATGGCTCAATGGTTACCAGCACCCACATGGCAGCTATCAACTGTGTAACTCCAGTTCCAGGGGATCCGATGTGCTCATCTGAACTCTGAGGCCACAGGTGCGCTTACATACACACAGGCAATACACTCATACACACACAAAAATAACAGAGAGAAGCCTCTTTAGAATCCTGGCTCTCTTAAACCACTATCCTTGTTCCTCCTCCAGCCAACACTCCCACAGGACTATAGCAAAAGACTCAAACCCAAGAGCCTGGGATGCTGTCCCACTTCCTTCTGCTATTCTGCTGAGGTCTGCCCATGGCCTGGCAAGGTAAGGGGGCAGAAGAGGAAGTTCTAAGTATCCCAGTTTCTTCCTGCTGAGGATTCAGAAGCAGCCATTCACAAAATCACTGGCACAGGAGAGGGGACAGGACTGGCTACAAAATGGACGCTATGCTGCCCTTTGCTTTTTCTCACTTCAGCCTTCCCGCATCTGACACCTCCTTCGGCGCCGTGAGTTCTGTACCACCACTACCCCGTACAAATTCACACATCCAGAGCGATGTGTGAGGCCAGAGATGGCCTCGCTCTACTCAGACCATCTCCCTACTCTCCACATCACCAACACCCTGATTAGGAAATGATGTGGTTTATCTGGCTCAGAGCAGTTTAAAACCCAGTGAAAGTCTGCTCACAGCTCTAAATGAACCAAGTAAGAGAGGGACCTTTGAGGGGTCAGTGAACCTAACCCTCTCAATCAAGGTGAGGCCCACACATCACTACAAGAATTTTTTTTTTTTCTTCGTTTTTTCCCCTTTCTGAGATAGGATCTCCCTGTAGTCCCAGCTGGCCTGGACTTGCTATGGAGACCAGATTGGCCTTGATCTCACAGAAAGCCACTTGCCTCTGCCTCTTAAGTGCTGGGATTCAAAGTGGTACATGTCCACTCTAAGAATCTTTAAAATTTTCTTTGTAATGCAAAAGAAAAACTCAGGAAGTTAGTAACTGCTATTGCTTTTAAAATGAGGACAATCTAGCCCCGTTTTGGAAGACAGCTGCGCTATGTGCTGCCTTAATTCCCTGGGAACCGAGTAGGATATAAATAGGGAATAAAAATAAATACCAACCCTTCTGAAAGCCCCCATCAGCCACTAAAACAACAGCATGATCACATAGGAAATGAGCTATCTCCTTGGGAACTGTCCTGAGCCACATGCCTTGGATACAGACACTCTGACCTCTGAAACCTGGGAAGCTACACACCACAGGTGTAGGTACCCCTCCCACACAAGTCTAGCTGTTTCTAGAGCCTCTGAGATCCAGGCTCTGCCTTCAACCAGAGACCAAGGGATGCAAACCACCATGCTGCAAGGGTCAACCCCATGACCAAGTGACTCCACAATAGCTCTGAGAACTGCCCATGAAGATTTCTACCTCTCCCCACCACAAAATACAGCCCCTTTCCACCCTGCCTGCTCTGAACAGAACAGTCCCTCGGCACAAGGCACTGATCCTACCGAAGCTGGATTCAGCCTCCCCCGCTGTACCCCATCCTCTCTCATTTGCCTCAGCCCCTAGTTTCCGGCACGCAGCTGCTCCTGAGGTACATGAGCAAAGCCCTCAGCAATCCTGGGCGCGTGGCAGGCAGGCAGCCAGCAGCTCACAGGGTGGGGTCTGGGCAGAGGTGCTGCTCTGAGCTGATGACTAGCCTGGAAGATGCCAGTCTATGCCCAGACCAGCCCTGTTGCCTCTCCAATAACTGTGCCTGCCTCTGGGCAAGTACAGCCTCACCCTCTTGGGACAAGCTGCCTGTAGCCCTAACCTGGCCCCCTGCCTACACTAAACTGAACAGACTGACAGAGCTTTGAAAGCCAAAAAGGTGAGAATCATTCTGCCCAAAGCAATCATGAGGCCTCACAACTAGTGCTGGTGACCCGAGAACTCATCTGGCTCCCCACCTGAGCAAATACCTTGTTTACCACCTAGCCTCTCATCCAAGCGAACACCTGACAGGAACAAAGGAGTTGAAGACTACCAGTGGTGACCCAAGAAAACCAAACCCTCCCCAACAAAGGGAGGGCCAAAAAGTCCTCAAGTTCATGGCCAGCACTTGACATTAGACCCTATGACCTCTCCTTAAGGAAGGGAAAAGTAGTGGCCCTAAGCCAGCCCTCAACTCCAGATCCCTCTTGCTTTTCCAGTCAGAGCCATGCCTCAACCCCCTCCAGCTTGCTAACTCTTTACTCAGTTTCTCAGAGATGCTGGAAGTACCTGTGTCTCCTCATATCCACAAGTTCCCTTCCCACACTGTAGCCCCTTGCTTTCTTCCTCCCAGCCAACAGGAATAGAATCTACCTGGAGGGCCTACAGGTCTCAAATCTCCTGCCAATCTGTACCAGGACTGTCCCTCAGAGTCAGAACAGAGCCCAGGAGTCAAGAGTCAGTACAAAGAGATATCTGGTGGACCTCCAGGGCAATCGGCCTTCCAGGAATTTCCAGAACCCCTTTCTCCCACTCAAGTCTGGAGGATGGGCCCAAGATGGCAGCTTTTCCATTCCAGGCAGCACTCACCAGTCTCCCACTGAGGCCAGGACTTTTCCTGGACCTGAAGAATCCAAAGCCAGGTTCTTCCCCTGTCTGGCTGGGGCACCCTTCCCAGTCTTGGCTAAAGTCCACCTGATACTCCAGGAGTGGAAACAGGTAAGAGACCAAACTCCACCCACTCCACCTCCCAGAGCAATGGTGACTTGTGGGAGTTGTGTCCTTACACTGGTCTCTGGATCTGGCTTTCATTTTGCTTCTCTCTGACCAGGAAAGTCTCCAGAACCAGGACAAGGTATGCCTCAACCTTCTCAACCTGGATGAGAACCTAACTTCCTGTCCTGGGTGAGAATGGGGACACCATCTACATTCTCCCTCTTGACAAAGGGAGGAAAACCATCTGGTCAAGAAGAAATGCCGATTCCTACCCTAGCTCTGTCTGTCTCTGAGGCCGAGAAGTGGAAACAGCATGGTAACTGAGGGAGAGTCTCTAACTCCACCATGCTCAAAGCATGGAACAGAAACACCATCAAATTCTGTTCTGGGGGAGACTGAGGTGCCCGGTATGATGGAGGGGGAGAGGTAGAGGAATCCTGCAGCAGGCTGGCAAATAGGTAGGCCATCTCTCTTCTGGCAATGAAGGGGGTACATCCCCACCCACACAGGGTGAATAGGAAAGAAGGGAACCCAGAGAGCAGAGAAGGCAAAGCTAAGGGAAGGAGGCAGCCAGCCTGGCAGGGAATGTAGGAGACACTACACCCCAGGGCAGGTTAGCTGGCCAAGGTCAGACTCACAAGGTTAGTGTCTTCTCCCCAACCAGCCAGCTCTCCTGGTTAGTGTGGTTAGCGACAGACTCATGGCAGACGCCCTCCAGCCACTCCATATAAACAGACAGCTTGGTGTGTGAGCAGCCCAACTCCGGAGCTGCGAAGAGAGAGCAGAGGAAGACCAAGCTGTGGGATGCCCATGGGCATTCGCTGCACTCTTTGTGGGAGAAGCTCCACTATGGAGCTTTCACGGACTTCCTGCCACTCAGAAAGCTTTCCAGGTGAAGACCAGTACCCCACCTGCTAACAGTGACTCCAGCTTACTAACCCATTCAACAAAGCTCTCTGGTTGATCAAGAGAAGAAGACAGCTATTGTGGAAGGGAGCAGAACTCCCTGTCTCCCAGTCTGAACACTGCTGCCAGGCTGCACCAGGACTCTGAATGCTGACTTGTAAAAACAAAGCCCCCTACAGCTGCAGCCCCACCCCCCAATCCAGGCCTATGCCAACAAAGTGCATCCCATAGGCTCCAAGGGAAAGGACTGCAAGAGACCAGCTGGGGATCAGAGGCTGTGACAAGAGCTGCAACAGAACGGACAGTATAATAGGGCAGTGTGTGACCTGGCCCAGAGTTAGTCCAGTCAAGGAAAGGATGGCACATAACCACCTTACAGTTTCTAAAAGGGCCAGGCAGCTGGTACTTCCCAGGGAGCCAGGCCCAGAGGACCCTGCAGAAGATGAATGCTATAGTCAGACTCTCAGACTTCAACAGGGGCTCCTCCACCTTCTCAGGAGGCTAGGCGTCCCATCAGGGCCAGTCAGGGAGTAGCAGCAACAGGTTCCTGAAGCCTCCAGAAGTATCCTGGAGGAAGTGATGTATCCCAGCTCAGAGACTGCAAAGCAAATGCCACAACAGCGGAATCCAGCAAGATATGTCCCCTGGGCAGTAGGGCAGGAAATTGAGAGCACACACACCAGCAAACATGGGGAAAGGGCAGGAGAGGGGCTCTCTCCCTTGTTCTGGAAAGCTCTGCAATCTCCATGCCGGTCCTACATGTGGGCCTGCGTCACAAGTTCAGGCCAGCTTGGACAACTCAGAGACCCTGCTTCAAAACAGGAAAAAAAAGGGGGGGGGTGGGGGAGCTCTGGGAATATGATTCAGTAGTTCAGTAGTAGTGTTTGCTTAGCATACACATGGCCTTGGGCTTAATTCCCAGTATAGTACCACAAAAAATAAAAAGTATGACCTGGTGTGGTAGTGCACGCCTTTAATCCCAGCACTTGGGAGACAGAGGCAGGTGGATCTCTGTGAGTTTGAGGTTACCCTGGTCTACATAGCCAGTTCCAAGCCAGCTGGAGCTACAGAGAGACCCTGTCTCAAAAAGAAAAAGTGTCCAGCTGGGCATGGTGGCACATGCCTTTAATCCCAGCACTTGGAAGGCAGAGGCAGGTGGATCTCTGTGAGTTCAAAGCCAGCCTAGTCTACATAGTAAGTTCCAGGTCAGCTTGGGCTACAGGGAGACTCTGTCTCAAAAAGACCAAAAAAAAAAAAGATGTCAAGTGTCTCTCAATTGCTACTCACTGAGTGTACCATACTATTCTGGCTACTGCCCCAGAGCTTTAAAAGGCCAAGGCCTGACCATGAAGAAAGATAACGCTTTCTAAAGGCCCTGGCCACTTTGCTAACCTAGGGAGAAAGCCTGGCCACTGATGGGCGGCCTTCAGAACCCTCACCCACAAGAGCTCCACAGACAACAGCTAGATCTGTTTGCATTCAAAAGGCAGAACACTGGGCACGATTATGCAAGTCTATAGTCCCATATGGGAACGAAGATCACAAGTCTGAGGCTAGCCTGAGCTGCAGAGTAAGACCTTATCTCAAAAAGAAATCAAAAATAAAAACAGGTAGACCAGAAAATGACCCAGCTAACTCTAAACTTCAAGAACCAGGGACTCTTGTTGCATTCAAGAAACTGATAAATCAGGTAATTTTTCTCTTTTCCAGCCAAAGATGAGGGAGAGTCACACACGAGACAGAGGTGCAGATGCCACATCACTCTTAAATCAATCTCGATTGACACCCAAGGACACTCCTACCAGACAATTTCATCTCAGAATAAAATATAATCCCTGTAGCCCTAGCTGGCCTGGAACCTGATATCTAGACTAGATTGGCCTCACTCTCACAGAGATCTGCCTACCTCTGCCTCCCAAATGCTGGGATTAAAGCCACCACGCCTATTTTGGCATTTTTATACAAGATACATATTACACTTACCTGGAAAGTCAACAGTTCCTAGAGACACAAAACCCTCCCTCTATATTATACTTTACCATTCTGCAAGCATTCACTTCCATGACTTTCCTTTGATTCCCACTAGTAAGACACAAAGAACAGCTGAAGTTTGCCCATTTTGAGTTAGACAGAGCAAGTGACTTGCCTAAGACCATAGGTAGAACTGTTCCCATCCCAAATTCCAGTGCGATCATGAAGGCTGACCTGGCCAGGGAGCCATAGGAGAGTAGGGCCAGTTGTGTCCTCACTTCAAGAACATCAAGGCTTCTGGGCTGACCTGTGATTTACAGAGGCCAGTGCTCAGTACCCAAAATAAGCTCAGCATTCCATCCTACTAGCTACTACTGGCTAGATGAATGAGGACTGCGGAGGGGTTGGGGACTGTGGGGGGGGGTGTTCTAGGCTGACTTCCCAAGATAGGCCGTCATCTTCCAGAGAATGGTCAACCCTGCACGTGGGTCATTGTGAGCACAGAAGCTTCTCATAGAGGGGCCAAGTTCTTTCTAGATTCTAAGTGGCACCTAACACACACTGAAACTTACACTGAGACCCTCTCTTCCACTCACAAGCCACTGCAGGAGAGACTCAGTCCTCCGGAAAGCTAAGGAACGACACAATCCAGGTCCAGCTGGTTCACCCAATCTCACCCAAGAGCTACCCATCATACAACACAGTTTATCACTCTGGCAAAGACCCATCAGCACAGATATGTAGGACACAGGCATACACTCTCACTGAGGAACAATGAGGAGAGCCCAGGGAAACAATACCCCACATTCATTCACCTACTGGTTTCATCCTTATGATTTATCTAGCCATTAAGAAAGCTGTAGTTAGTCCAGTTGTGGGGATGGTGCACACCCATGAGACCATAACCAGAAAAAAAAGTAGGTGACAATAGGCACTGAAAGGCCAAAAGGACTAATGAAGGACCAGCAACCAAGAGGTTCAGGTGATAACTGTTTTTTGGATACAGGCCTAGCTGGGACTCACTATGTAGCTTAGCATGTTGGGATTGCAGGCAGCTGCTACCCCTACCAGGCTTTGAAAATACTGAGTAACAAAAGCTACAGATGCATGTTATTAGAACTAGAGAAGCTAAGTGCAGACAGCTGAAGCCATGCTCCTGGAAGACCGTGTAACCCATGAATTCAATGCTGGAAAAATCATTAGTAATGCTATTGTTAACATTATCACTATTTGTTTATGCAGGACTTTCCTTCCTAAGAGCTCAAAGGTTTTGCCAGAAAGATCTCATCTGTTTAACCTCACTCAGGAAGGATGGGTTGGGTCACAGAGTAACCAGGGTTCCTTAGCACTTACTCATAGAACCTAAGCTTGCCCTCAATTAAGGAACTTGTACCTAAAAAGCCTTAGATGCAGACCTTACCTCCAGCAGAGGAGAGACAAGTTAACAGCAACTCTACAGTGTGGAGAATGCTTCAGATCACAGGAGGCAGGTGCATGGCTAAGGCAGGGGTTTATGAACCGGACAGAAAGACTGCTCTCAAGAGAACCAGGGCACCTTCCTCACCTGACTGTAGGCTCATACTGGAGTACCTCCTTACATATACTTTAAGAGGTCCCAATCTTTGGAAACAAATTCTTTTGGTATCTGTTGAGAACTGGTGCCTTATGGACTACTCTCATCAACTAAGCTAGAAAGAAAAGGCAAATTGATGATGACTCAGCCACCAGCCCATTTCAGAGGAGGATTAGGGGTGAACCTGTGACACAAGACTAAAGCCCTAAGATCATGAGGGCCAAGAAGTCTGGTTTCCTTGATGCCTGCATGCGTTTCTCTGGTTCCCCCTGACATTTTCGGTTCATAAGACACCTGGGAACATGGGTCCCCAAACACTCCATCCAGTCACCCACTGCATGCAGCCCTCTATCTACAGCCTTAGTGGCTACAAATCTACCATCTATTTGATTCACTCAAGGTCACCACCAGCCTGCCCAGAACTGGAGAAGCCGACACACTGTGATCCATGGCAGAAGTGTCTGCAGCCCAGGGGATGGGCAGCAGCGTGGCAATCTGATTTTGCACAGGCAGCTCATTGGGAATTCTATTGCTTCATCAGAAGAAACCAGAATCTCTGTTTTACTCCTACCTCAAAAATGTTCCTGGCTTTATGACAGAAATTAAAACACTTATTCAGGCTTAAATAAATCAAAGCCTTTTCTTATCCACAAAGTTTTAAAACATGAGACTCAAAAAATAGTCACAGACTGTCCTCATATGTCAGACCCATGCAATGTGCTAGGAACGCATTGTCTTACTGTTCAATACTCCAGAAAAGTCACGGCACTGTCATTTTATAGGGACAAAACCAAAAATCCAACTAGTTAAAAAATTTGCCCAACACTGCATAGCTAGCATAGCCATCATTGAAATCAAGTCTCTCTAGCTCTAAAATCAGGCTACATAGTAGGACCCCATCTCAAAAACAAAAACAAAGCCAACCCTTTGTCTTAAGAAATGTTGTTGCATCTGCTTTTTTTAACTTAAAGTCCATCCTCTCTAGCTTGGCATGCAGAAGAGCAGTGCACATTCTGCCTTGGCCAAAGCATAACGGTTAGCCTGAGTTGCTGCCACACCCTCTTCTGGCCTCTGCAAGGACTGCACATACGTGGTACACGTACACACATGCAGGCAACACCCATACACAGAAAATTATTATTATTGGTCTTTTTGAGACAGGGTCTCCCTGTAGCCCCAGTTGTCCTAGAACTCACTATGTAGACCAGGCTGGCCTTGAACTCACAGAGACCCATCTGCCTCTGCCTCTGCCTCTGCCTCCTGAGTGCTGGGATTAAAGGCATGCGCCACGATGCCCAGCTACATAAAATAAATTTTTTTAAAAAATTTAAATAAAAAGAAGCTGATCCGGGTGAGAAACAAAGGCTCAGTTTATCCAGAGGTCCTAAACTTCAAATGTAAGATGGCAATGAAGCAATGAGATCTGAATGTAATATTCGAATAAGGAATACTGTGAGAAAACCAATTTACACAACAAGAAATGGTGTGGGGGTGGGGGGTGGCTCAAAATCCAGTCTTCATCCTGCAATTCACTAAGTCTGAGGATTTCTACTAAAACACAAAGGTGTACTCTATGAAGAAAACACGTTGCAGCATGTCAAGATTGCAGCACAAATCAAGATAGAGTACATTAATCTGGGACGTGTGGCTTCTACAACAATGGAGGAGGGGAAACAAGACTGCCAGGTGCCACAACAAATGGAAAGGTTCTTCCCGAAGCTGGCCCAGAGTTCCCAGGGAAAGTCCAGTCTTCAGCCCCCAAGTCCTCTATAATCTGGTTCCACACCAGGCATGTGCCTACTCTGATGGCAGGGTGGAGAGTCATTTACTAAAGAAAAAGATGGGCCCTAAAGGTATGCCAAGTAGACAGGACATGACTTAGAAGGAAGAGAAGAGCCAATATTAAACATAGGGCAAAGGAAAGCCAATCACTCAAACCTGGAGCTTGCCTCTGCCCCCCAGCTGCAGGCCACCTCCTGACTGGCTAAAGGGAGAAGAGACTTGTGTGCTATGCCAGCGCCTTCATCAGACAGCACAGGCTTCAGCAGAAGCACATGTTTTCCATTTTCACCTCATGCTGACTGGAAAGAGCTATTTAAAATGCCACCCACGATTTTTCTCTATGCAGGCTATTTTAAAAAGAATGATTATATCTATTGTCTATGAATTTAATATTGTGGCTACTTCATCTCCCCATGTCAGTAATCAAAACCAGACCCCAACCTTAACGTTTACATCTACATTAAGAGGCACACACCTACCTTTAAATCATGCTTAGAGTGATTTTTTGTTGGTTTATATTTGTGTGTGTGTGTATGCATGTGCCTTGGCACACATGTGGAAGTTGAGGATGACTTGTAGGAGTTGGTTCTCTCCTTCTACCACATAGGTCCTGGGGTTCAAACACAGGCTTAGTGGCAGGCACCTTTACCTGCTGAACCATCTTGCTCATCCTGTTTTGTTTTTTTGAGACTGGGTCTTGTTATATAGCCTTGGCTAGCCTAGTAATTTCTATGCAGCCTAGCTGACCTCCAGCTCAAGGAAATCCTGTCTCAGTCTCCCAACAGGTGGTGGAATTACAGGTGGTGTGCATTACTAATGCTTGGATTAGAATGGATCCCTGTATGAGTCTGCTCACCCCACAAAGGCCCAGGATTTTGCAAAGGGTAGTCAGCAAATTGAATCATGGAGAGAACAGTTCTGGCAAACTCAGCAGAGTAGGTTAGGTTTCCTCACCACTGTCCCTGCCTCACATATTATTTCTAAGAGTAAACAGAGCTGGGCATGGTGGTGGTGGTGGTGGTGGTTGATGCCTTTAATCCCAGCCCTCAGGAAGCAGAGGCAGGCAAAGATCTGACCTGAGATCGAAGTCAACTGAGTTCCAGGCCAGTTGGGGCTATAGGGAGACCCTATCTCAAAAAGGAAAGAGAAGTAGGCAGAAGACAGAGACAAAGCACTTGTGTCCCAGAAAAAAATCTGAAATGGCCAAAATGTTTCACATGGGTGTACATCTAACCAACAAGACAAACAAACATGAACCAGATACAGCCAAACAAGTTATGAACTGCTTCTGGGCATATTTAAAAGTTAACTGCAGCGCTGGGTATGGTGGCACTACACCTTTGATCCCAGCACTCGAAAGGCAGAGGCAAACAGATCTCTGTGAGTTCGAGGCCAGTCTGGTCCACATAGTGAGTCCCAGGCCAGCTGGGGCTACAGGGAAACCCTGTTTCAAAAAGACCAAAATAAATAAATAAATAAAAATAAGAGTTAACTGTACCACATGAAATGCCTGTAGTCCCAGCTACTCTGGAAGCTGAGGCAGAAGGTCCACTTTAAAAGCCCAGGACAGTGCTGGGAACATAGTATACAGTGCTTACCTAGCATATATGAGGCCCTAGATTCAATTTTGAGAACCACATAATAAGAACAACAGCAACAACAACAGAAGCAGTTATTACTATTATTTCAGGAGGTTGTGGCCAGCTAAGCATGGGCAATACAGTGAGCGCCCCCCTAAAGGTAACTTCATATTAATAAAAATTTTAAATTAAAAAAATTTATTTATTGTTATTTTATGTATATGAGTGTATTGCCTGCATGTATTAAAGTGCACCTGTGTCATGCAATGCCAATGGGCATTGGATCCCCTGGAACTGGAGTTACAGACAGCTGTTAGTCACCATGTGGGTGCTGGGATTCAAACCTGGGTCTTCTGTAAGAGTAGCCAGTGCTCTTAATCTCTCCAGCCCCGAAAATTTTTAAAAAAAAATTTTTTTTCATTAAAAAAAAAACAAAACAATTCATTCACCTGTTAGAGCCAGGGATCCAGAGTTTACATCCTACAAGGCTCTGCCACTCACTAACTGGGGACCTTGAAGAAATGACGCAACCACTGGTGCTTCACTTCTCCATCTGTGAAATAGGATACCAGTATGTATTTTATATAGCTGTTACCAAAGAAGTAGGTAATGCCTGTGAAGGGTTTACAATAGTGCCAAGCACAAAGACTACCTTTGATATTCACTATCATTACTGTTCAAATGCAAAGACAAAACTTCCAGACTCACAGCTTCAAACAGAAGTTTCCACTGGTACTTTAACATCACTTTACATAGCTCAATTTAGACAGTCCCATTATCCAAAAGCTGCACTTCGATTTTAGTAACTTCAGGCTGGCAGCCCACCAATGCAAACCCTCCACAGCAACCACAGGTTCAACCATGAAGTCTAAGGTAGTGCTGAGATCTGATGAGCATATCAAGTAATACTTAGCACATTAATACTTATATTAATACTAAGCACATTAATGTATTACCTTTTACAAATACCAGCCCCACTGTCTGAGGGGAACTGGAGGCACAAAGAACTTCATAATTACGAAAGATGACACAGCTATAAAGTCAGGATGGAGCCAGCAGCCTTTTGGTCTTTTTGAGACAGGGTCTCTCTGTAGCCCCAGCTGGCCTGGAACACAGTATATACACTATGCTGGTCTTGAACTCAGAGATCCACCTGCCTCTGCCTCCTGAGTGCTGGGATTAAAGGAATGTGCCACCATACCTGACTTTTGGTTTGTTTTTGAGACAGAGTTCTCATGTAGCCTAGGTTGGCCTTAAATTTGTTATATAACTGAAGGTGACCCTGAACTCCTAATCCTCCTGCCTCTACTACTTTCCAAGTGCTAAGATTACAGGTGTGTATCAGCTCCAATTCTTTTTATTTTACTGTTGCTTTTATTTATTTTTTTGAGACAGAGTCTCACTATATAGCCCTGGCTGACCTGAAACTTGCTACATAGACAAGACTGGGCCCAAACTCAGAGAGAGTCACTGCCTCTTTCTTCCTAGTGCTGGGATTAAAGGTGTGAGCCCTCAGCTATAATTCTTTTAACTATTCACATTATTCTTTTTCCTTCTTTTTCTCTTTTCTTTTCTTTGAGACAAGATCTATGTAGCCCAGGCTGCCCTCAAACACCCACTCCTCACCCTGAGTGCTAGGATTACAAATGTACACAGTTCTGATTACAATCCCCAAGGAATTACATCTATACATCTCAGAGAAAAAAGGTTCTCGAGTTTCTAGACACGAAACCACAGCTAAACATCATCAGTTCTTCAAGTACCTAAAAACACTGGGGCTGGCCTAGTAGCGCTGATTTAGGGTGTTCTGTCCGGAGTAAACTTTTGGGGGTGGAGGGAGGGAGCAAGTATGCAGGGAGCAAGGCATGATTAGTGAGACATTCCAGATCAAACCAGACCTCCCAGTTCAATCATCAAGCAGAAGCAGATCCTAAAATAGACCAGTAAGAAACCTGCACCCACTGGGTAGTGATGCACACCTATAATCTCAGCTACTAGGGAGGCTGAGTTAGGAGGATCACTTGAGCCCAGGAGTTTGAGTCTAGCCTAGGCAGCATAGCAAAACCTCCTTTCAAAAACAAAATCAGCCATAGTGACTCATTCTGTAATCCCAGCAATTAGGAGGGAGGTTGAGGCAGGAAAATGCCACAAGTTCAAAGCCAGCCTGAGTTATACAACAAGTTCCAGATCAGACCTGGCTAGAGTTGAGACCCCGTCTCAAAAAATAAATAAATAAATAAAAAAAACTGGGCCAGGTGTGGTGGCACACGCCTTTAGTCCCAGTACTCAGGAGGCAGGAGGCAGAAGCAAGCAGATCGCTGAGTTCAAGGCCAGCCTGGTCTACATAGTGAGTTCCAGGCCAGCCAGGGTAACCCAGGGAGCCCCTATCTCAAAAAACAAAAACAAAAAACACCCACAAAACTAACAACAATATTATATATAAATATATAATATATACATATATCTATATATATGTATATACACACGCATCCTAACTCCATCTCTGCCTTGGGCATTAACAGAAGTGATGACCGTATTCATTACAGTCACTGCATTCTGTCTTCTGTCCTCTTCCTCTCTCTCCAACAGCACGTCCACTATCTTCAAGGCCATACTTATCTGAATAGTAAAACTGATTTTTTTTCCTTCTTAAATGTGGTATGTTGGAGCACATACAAAGAATGCAGCGAAAGCTACCAGAAAAGGGCAAGTTCCATAATCTTTTCCTTCCTTTATCTCACTGGTCCAACTGTAAAATAACACTCAAATGATCAGGGGCCTCAGAGATAGAGAATTTGCAGAACTTTATACATGTCAGACTCACCCCTTATCTCATAGCTCATCTGGGTTTCTTCCTAGTCCCAACCTGTCTCCCTCCCATAGGACACCACTCCCCCAATCCATATCCCATGGAACACTAATGAACTTTTCTTACCAAAAGAAAAGTGCAAAAGTAGACATTAGCAAGAGGGAATTCAGGACTTGTTCATAAAAAGGACCTAAATGTCAGTGAACATCATCAGAAATTTGCTTTCTTAGGACTCCCCACCATCTGTCACCCACAAATGTGCACTTCCAGGCAGAATGTCAAATTGACGATGTGAGGGGGAGATGGAGGAAGAAATGGTACATATCTGTAGGAACTGCTTGTGACAGGGATGTGTTAGAATACTCTTAGATTCATCTCTACTTGCCCAGAGTTGCTTGGACTAGAAGACAGCATGTGAAACTCAATTCTACCCCGACTCTCAAAAGGCAGCCTGCAATCTAAGCAAAACACAACTCACGGACCAAAGGCAAAAGTCAAACTCTACAGATGAGCAACCTTCTCAGATGAACTGGTTCTCCAAGGCCATGGATCGTCTCCCAGGGAGTACGCCACTTAGAAACCTGTCACTGGAGACCATCTTACCCGCTCTGGGGTTGAGCTGGGGCAAGACGCTACTTCTTTCCAAGCAGGCAATGTGACTTCCTCCAGTCCCTGGGGCCCCTTGGTCTTCAGATGAAATTGGGGCAGATAGTGCTATAGGAGCTATGAAAAAAGGTTGATCCAAGTCTGGAAGAGGGTCTTTTGACTGGTTCCAGTCCCCTCAAGAGACCGGCCCAGCATGCTCCAGGTCTCTCTCCCATCCCTTCCGCACTGTTCTTTAACCAAAAGAGCCCTTTCCCCTCCCACTGAACTAATAGTCAGGCCTCTGTCCCAGGCTCCAGGCTTCTAGACTCTCAGTTAAGTAATTCTTTTTCTTTTCGCGCGTGGCTACTTCTGCAGAATCGGAACTACACCTATTTCTGGCTCCCCCGCCCCAATCCCCTCCCCTAGGGCTGCCACGGGATTCCAGGCCCCCTCCCCTCCACCCCCATGACTTTTTTTCCTTCCGCCTCCAACCCTCCTCCATCCCAGGTCCTCTGTCTGCACCTGGGAGCTGGTCCCTCCCTTCATCCCTTCTCCATGCTGGAGTCCCGCAGTCTCCCTCAACTCCAGCCTCCCAGCCCAACTACTCGAAATCCCACAACAAACTTTCCGCTGCTGGCCGTAGCCTTCAAGCCGCCATCTTGCCGCGGGGCAGGCCGGGTAGTGGCCAGGGTCTCGGGAATCCCCACGCACCCGGCGCCCCGCGTCATCGGGGGGGCGGGGCCATGGGGGCGGGGCCTCGGGCTATGGCAGTGGGAAGGGTGGGATGCTCTTGAGAGCTGGCATGGAAGGCCTGGCCACCGGAGAAAGAGCAGGGTGTTGGGAGTATGGCAACAGCAGGAAAAGGGAGAAGACTGGTACTGGAGGAAAAAAAGAAAAGAGTAGGAAACACAGCTCCAAAATATAGGAGATTCCTCATCATCCAAAGAAAAATGCCACCTTTTCATCTTGACTCAATATCCGCGTGACCCACCCACCTTCATCAGCATAACCTCCTACCTCCCCCAACGTCTGCAAGTTCCTAAATTGTCCTGTGTCGTCCGAACATTGGACCTTAAAATGTGCAATCCAGTTCCTCCCCGCACAAGATCAATTTTCACGGTTTTTTTTTTTTGTTTTTGGTTTTGATTTGGGTTTTGGTTTTTTGGCAGGGGGTGGTCATCACATCACGTTGTAGCCCAAGCCGACCTCAATTCGTTATGCAATTCAGGCTGTCCTCAAACTAAAGGCAATTCTCCTGCCTCCGAGTGCTGGGATTAAGGGCGTGCACCACCATGTCCAGCCAAAAACCTTCCATTTGATGCCCCTTTTTGCTGAACATCTCTACAAGTTGCACAGAACTTTATTATGGATATCCTGTGCCATAGTTATTTCTTTACATAACCTTTTTACCCTACTGTTTCTTCAGGGTAAAAAGTATGTCTGATTGCATCTTGATATTCTGTAGTGGGTGCTACAGAATAGTAAATGTGTAGCACGTATTCCTCTCGTGTACTAAGCACTTTTGTGCCACAGAATCTTTCCATTTTCTTTTTCCAGCAACTGGAATGTTCTTTCTCTAGTGGTCACTTCCAGTTGGGTCTTTGCTCAAATGTCATCACATAAAAGAAAGCTTTCCTGGTCACTCAGCTTCTGAGTCACTCTCCCTGACTGCTTTACTGCTTACTGTCATAGTGGTTATTATCTGACTTTGTACTAAATATTTCTTTGTTTGTTGACCATATGTCCTACTACGATGAAAACTACAGAAGCTATTTGCTCATACTGCATTGTATTCCAACAGTGTCTAAAACAGTGCCCGTCAAAGTAAGTACTCAGTATTGTTGAATGAATATATGGTCTGGAAGTGAATGATTGAAAGATTCTGGAATATTAGTGGGGAAGAGGGTTGAAAATACTACAAGACAAGGAAATACATAGATGAAAGTCACACACACCCTGACGCCCCTTGGTCCTAGCAGAAATAGTAGCAAGACAGACCCCAGACTCAACAAATGAGAACTGGAGATGAGATGAGAGCCAGGTGAAATTCTGCACCTGTGTCCTCAGGGAGTGGAGATCTTCTCAAAAGACTCCAGGACAAGCCAGCCAGTAAGGAAATGGGGAGGATTGGTAGCCCAGGAGTTTACTCAGACATAAAAACTATCTACCCCAAGCCAAGGCCTCTCTTGACCCGATGGTTCCAGAGAAGCCTTAGCATCTGTCCCTCCATAAATTATCCAGTGCTCCTTCCTGCCAGTCTTCTCTGGTGACAGCGGAACAATTGTCCAGGAATTCCATCTGCTACTCCTGTCCCTAGCCCCTCTGCTGCTCATCAACATTTCATTGCAGAGAGGTATCCCATTTCCCTGGGCCTCACATGGAAGCTGGGTCTGTCCCTGAATGAGCTGGTTTCCAGCATCCTCCCCCATCAATACACACAAATAAAACCTCAGCAGAGGATCCCAGCTCTCCAGAGAATGAAGTCCCACATCTTATTTCCTGCCCCTTCCTTCAATTTCCATCACCTACATCTTGTAAAATTAATAAGATTACACTAAAATAGATCACATAGACTGTCATGGGGCTCAAAATAAAGGCTCTCAAGGGCTGGAGATGTAGCTCAGTGGTAGCCTGCATACATAGCATAAGTTTGGTCCTACTTTGATCCTTAGCACCAAAACCAAAACAAACAACAACAAAGAAAAAACAAAATGGCTCCTGATCATTACATATCTCTACATGGTTCCCCTCAAACTGAATGAACATTCAGTACTTTCAAAATGTAACATTTTTGGGCTGGAGAGATGGCTCAGCGGTTAAGAACACTGGTTGTTCTTGCAGAAGACCTGGGTTCGAATCCCAGCACCCACATGGCAGCTAACAACTGTCAGTGACTCCAGTCCCAGGGGATCCGACAGCCTCTTCTGACCTCCGCGGGCATTGCATGACATGGGTATACTTACCTACATGCAGGCAATACACGCATATGCATAAAATAAAAAAATAAATAA